GCAGTGTGTGGAAGACAGAAGCGCCGTCCTGTCTATGGCCACACCGCCCTGACTGCGCCCATCTCGTCAGAAGCACCATCCATTGCAAATGCGGCCACGAGATGCTTGGGCAGCCCTGGGGGCTTGGCTTTCAGGCCTTCAGCTTGGTCCGCTGCAGACACCCCCGCAAAAGGCATCCGATTTTCAGACTGAGGCCGCTGGCGACCACACCACTCGGCCCGCCTGGAAATGTTCTCTCTCATTTGCTCTCTTTCTCTCTCAAATAAAATATAAAAAAATCTTTAAAAAACACAGGAACAGGTAACACAGAATTGAAATATATTGACAGATACCAATGCTGAGTGACAGGTACAGGGGATTTGTTTTTCCTTCTACTTTTGTACATTTGAAATGTTCACACTTAAGGGTTATGGGAAAGGTTTTTGAGCCACAGAGCCCCAAAAAGGAGCCTGGCAAAATATGACATCAGACTCCTACTGGCGAGGTACACAAACGACAGGTAGAAGTACATACTAACCCAGTTTGCGTTTCCGTGACTATCATGCTGAGCATACCACCAAGTAGGAAGAAGGACCCAGCCACAAGCCGTGGAGGCCCACACGTGGGGGCTGCCCCAGTGTCCCCAAGTCAGCAGCCTGGAGCCCCCCCCTCCCCCGGCCCTCCCTGTCTTGCAGTCTCCACCCAGGACAGCTGATCCCCTGGCCACTCAACAGATCCTCTCAAGTGCCCTCAAGCAGGTCAAACTGTAAGGCACTGACTAATTCTGGGCCGTAAAGCCAGGAAGAGTGAGCAAGGCAACAGTTTAGCAGAAGCCTTGCTTGGCTCTGTGGCCATTTCAGCAATTCAAAGCAGGATACTGTGACCTCCATATAAACACAGCAGCTGGGAAAGCCCAGGCCCGGTGTTTACACAGAAACTTTCCCCCCAGAAGCTCAGCGTCATTTAGGGACACTCACTAATTAAGTTAATTAAGTCTCCCAGGCCTCCTTCCCACCCCCACCCCCGCGGCCGCAGCTCCCTGTTCAACAGCAAGCGTGGCTGGGGGCAAGAGGCAGGGTCGCACTCGCTCACAAACACCCGGGCAAACACACAGGCGCTCGCAGGCCACCCTTCCTGGGGGCTGTTTGGAGAAGGCTGAACTTTGGAGTATCCGTGTGTGTTCTGAAAATGAAATCCACAAACAACAGGCGCACTTCCCTTCCCTTGGTCCACACTAGGTCTAAAAGAGACAAAAGGAAAGGCAGCAAGGACTTTTCGTCCAGATGTGCCAGTAAGAGAAGCTCTGCGTGCTAACTGGCTGGCGGACCACGGGGAACTGTTCCATGCTATGGCTTTCCACCTGTACTTGAGAAACCTCCTACCTTCCAATCAGGCACCGAGAAAACGTAGGCCAACACGTTTGGCTTTCCTGCTTCCGAATCCCTGTTCCCACGGATCTACTCTGAAGACAGACTCTCAACCTAATTCTTGTAGAAGCAGGAATTTAGAAGTAGTCCCTCGGCAACCTTCCTGCTGGCAGGCTCGACGGCCAGGTGTGGAGACCGGGGTGCAGAGTCACTGCGGAACGAACAGCAGGACTGGGCCCAGCCAGACCAGCAAAGGATCATCAGCTTTTCCTAAATGCACAGCCCAGCTCAAGGCCCTGACTGTCTCTGAGCACTGCCTGGAAACAAGAAGCAATTTTTGTGAGCCCCTGCGGGTGGTGAGAGGCTTTCAAGTGTGGATCCTTGTGGGGTAATCTGGGCCTTTGAAGAGCTGTGCTTGCAGCCTGCTGTGGGGCACACGAGCTCTCCCGCTGTTCTCCCTAAAAGCAGAGGCATGCATCTGCCTCCGGACAAGCAGAGGAACGCTCACTGGCTGGGGAGAAACCACCACCCACATGGCAATAAACCATCCACTTAAGTCTCCCTGGCCTCTGGTTCCTCCCCGTTCCTCCCGGGGGAGACCCAGCACAGGAAACCACAGCTTAAGCGAGAGGAAGCTGCCCCCAGGCTTGAACCTCTTGGAAAGGGTGAGTGGTCAGGATTCCAACCGCGGCTATGCCGGCTTCCACAGATGTCTGGTCCCAGGCAAAAGCAGGCATTGAAACCTTCCGGGGAAAAAAATGAAAGTACGCTTCTCCTTGTCAAGGAAAGGAAAGCAAAGAAGCCAGCCCTTTGAAACACAGACGGGAATTTCAAATTCAGAACCATTCTATCAAATTGTGGCGCGTTTCGGATACTTGAAAAGCCCGAAACAACAACTTTCTAGTAACAGAAGGCTTTGATAATCCTCCTCTGGACCAGCAATAGCACCAAGCGCTACAGCTGCTTTTAAAAAATAGTTTCACTTAAGAAAAACAGACTTTAAAAATTAAGTATTCGGCCTAAGTTCTACTTAAAAATGAATGCTCGGTTAAGTGACAAATGTGGGCTGCACATGAGTTGAAGACAAGCCAATTCCTTCCATTACACCCTCTGTACTAGAATCCAGTGGACTGTAGTCACCAAAGTAATATACATGCATCACAGCCCAAACTGAATTTCCAAATGGAAAATACGCATTATATTATTTTCATTAATCATTTTAAAGTCTTCACTTTAAAAAGTGAAGGAACTCTTAAATGTGCATGAACCTTGCCTAACGTTGCCGTAATCCAAGTGACGGACGTTTTAATCTCTTTGATGAAGGAGTATTTTTGTACCGTGAAATGAATCTCTTGGCTCTGATAAATGTGGTATGAAGTAGACCTCTAAAAGGAATGGAAATTTCTGTGGTTTTCTTTCAAGACCTTAGCAAATGACCAAACTTGGATTTTTCGGGACAGAGCACAAACTGGAATAATCTGATAATAATTTAATCAACGACTGCAGGCACACTATGGTACTAACAATGCTGGAGACACTGTTTCAGTAACCAAGCGACTGAAAACAAGCCCGACAACTATATGCTAATGAAACGATTAGGGAAACCGAAATAGAAGAGATGATTCTTCCAAGAGGCATATCCTAACTGAAGAATCCATGCATACAAATATGGGGGGGGGGGGCAAAAAGACTAGAGACGTTTATAAAGTGTTGTGGAAGTGAGTGCCCTGGTCATCCAGAACCTAAAGGACAGTGACCTTCCTCTGTGCTTTGTTTAGGACAAACAAACAAGGTAAGATGGTATAGCAGGACACCAGCTGGAAGCCTACTCTCCAGCGTTCAAGTTTAAAGTTCTAACAGTCCTACTTGGTTTTGCTCACTTTGGCCTTCCCCATGAAGTGAGCCACAGAACAAGGGACAGGGTGATTGGCTGGTGATACCAGGACGCCACGTGTTGTATGACATTATAAAAACAGCCGCACTGGGCGCCTGGGTGGCTCAGTTGGTTAAGCGACTGCCTTCGGCTCAGGTCATGATCCTGGAGTCCCGGGATCGAGTCCCGGGATCGAGTCCCGCATCGGGCTCCCTGCTCAGCAGGGAGTCTGCTTCTCCCTCTGACCCTCCCCCCTCTCATGCTCTATCTCATTCTCTCTCTCAAATAAATAAATAAAATCTTTAAAAGAAACAAAACAAAAAAAACAGCTGCACACTCAATGGGTTAAGCACCTGGCTCTTGGTTTCAGCTCAGGTCATGATCTCAGGGTGTGAGATCAGCAAGGAGTCGCCTTGAGATTCTCTCTCTCTCCCTCTGCCCCTCCCCAACTCTCAAATAAATCTTTAAAAGCAGCAGCTTTTAGGATTCAGGTAGGACTCAGGTAGAGGTGTGTCCCCTTGGGTCAGGCAAGTTTCATAGCCTCTTCAGGCCCCAGTTTATTCATCTATAATATATGGCGTTAACAGTAGCTCCTTTGCAGAACTGTGAAAGTTAAATGAGATCACCACTAACGTCCTTGGCACAAGGCCAGTCTCAACACTTCCTGAAGCACGGACGTGAAATGCACTGGCGTGGCATCTACAAATACATCCAGCATAAAGGTAGAGTCACCAGGTGGTACGTTTGCTTACAAGTTCTGCACTTTGCAAAACTGATGCTTCTCGGCCAAGTATCTACGTGGGGTCAATACAGGTTCCATCAGAGGTTTCTCCGGGGTCTGTGTTCCCGTGTTTGTGTCCCCTATCCCCTCGGGAACAGAAGCTAGCCAACACAAACCAACGGGCAATCACTGGTTTCATCAACAGGTGCAAAAGAAAACGAGCGTCAGGCCCGGGGTCGGGGCGGCTCCTAGGTCAATCCCCTGGGATCGCGGTGGACCTGTCACGTGTCCCGGCGGGGCGCGGGGGCACAGAAGGCCACACCGGCTCTCCAAGAGCGCAACCACCGGGCGGGCGCGGCGAGGGCAGACCCCCAGGAGGTGCCGCGGGCCGCCGCGCCCTGGGCCCGGCCTGCGGGGCACTCTGGCGTCCCCGGGGTCCCCTCATTCAAACCGGCCGCCCGCACCCCGCGCGCGACCCCCACGCCCCGGCTGTCTCGGCGCCGCCCGGGACTGGTCACCTCGGGGAAGGGAGGTGCCCCTTCCTCGAAGTCTGGGCACGGCCGGGCGTCGTCTCTCCCCCGGGGCGGGAGACCGGGGGAGCGCGCTCCCAGCCCCGGGTCCGCGGCGCGGTCGCACTCACCGAGCGTGGCCACCGTGCCGGCCTCGAAGAGCAGGCAGTCCCCGCGGCCGCGCGCCTCCAGCAGGACGCTCCACTCCCCCGAGGCGTCCAGCCGCCCGAGCAGCCGCAGCCCTTTGCTCAGCGCCATGGGCGCCGGGGCGCGTCGGGCCCGAGGGCGCGCAGCCCGTCTCCGCTCCCCGCGCGCCCGCCAAGCGCCAGGAGTTTCGCTTTGGGCCGGGGCTCCGCGCCGCGCGCAGGCTCCTCCCCGGCCTCCTCCGCGCCTTCCCCCGCCCCCGCCCCCGCCCCCGCCGCGCCGCCCCGGGGCAGGTGAGGGCGCGCGGCCGCCTCCCCGCCCCCCGCCCCCCGCCCCCGCGTCCCGCGCGCGAAGGCGCCGCGCTCCCCCCGGCGGCGAGGCCGCTGCGGCCGGGCGGGCCTGGCGTCGGCGCCCCGCGCCCCCGGGGCTGTGCTCGGGGGGCTGATCCCGGGCCCCCGGCCGGAGGGGAAGTCCTCCCTGCGGCGGGCGGCCGCCGAGGGGGAAGATTCCACACATTCCTGGGCGCGCAGGAGGACGCGGCCGCGGGTGCCCCACTGAGCCTGGAAACGCTGCAGGATCGCCCGGCCTTATAAGGGCGGCGCGGCCCGGGCCCGCGGCGCTGCGAGGCGGGGGTCCGCGGCCTGCCCTCCCCGGTCCCAGCCCGGGCGGTGCACGACCCTGGGCCAGTCACTTCAACGCTCTGTGCCTCAGTTGCCCTGCGGGTGAAGCGGATTTAAGGTTGTGCTGAGGATTCCAGTTAACTCCCAGAAGGGGCTTAGTGAGTGCCTGGCGAGTGGCAAGGGTTCAATAAATGTTGCCTTCACCAGCTTTCTATAGGTGAGGATACTGTGCTCCGCTTCCACACCAGGGAGAATTTGAGGGGATCAAAGGCGTGTTGTCTCAGAGAAAACGGAGACTGTGACTTCCAGGCGGGCCCCTTATGTGACCTTGACTTCTCTGAGCCAGCTTTCCTGACCTGCTTGCCGGATGGGCGCTGAGTCAGAGGTCAGGGCTTGAAAGCTCGGGAGGTAACAAGCAGGGCAGCTGTGAAGGGCTGGTGGGTGCAGAGCGAGGGGTCTCCTCCCTCTCCCTGCAGCCCCTCCTCCCACTCTGGGGTATCATCCTTGACTTCGGGGCAGACACTGCCATCAGCCAGCTTGTACTCAGGGCGTGTGGACTTCAGCACAAATCCGTGCATCATTCATTGGCTTATGCTGCCCCTCCGCGGGTGCCCTCGCAGCTAAGTGAAGGGAGGCAGGGCCCCTCACGGCACTGGGTTCTAGCCAGATGCCAGGACTCATCTGCAGGGGAGGGGAGAAGGGAGACGGCTTACCCAGAATGGCTCCTTGGGTGGGTCTGGAGGTTTTGTTCCCTTCTCCTGTCATGGGCGTGTATGCACAGCCCCAGAGACCTCCACCAGGCTCCCAAACCACCAGGGCATCTCTCACCACAACCTGCTCACATTGAAGACTGTGGGTCGGGCTCTTTGTCTCCGAAGCACGTTCCAGAAGGAGCAGAGTCCCCAGTGCCAAGCAGGACACTGTGGTGCCCTTGCAGACGTTCAGGAATGACAGGAAATGACCAGATATTCAGTCCTCTGTGGACAGCCTCCCAGGTGATGAATTGGGAAATAAACAACTGGCAGAGATTCAAATCATTCCTCAGCCTTCTGTCCTGTTGATCACAAATTTAGTTATGAAGTGTGGATATCCCAAGTATGACGCTCATAAGCTGTCCACAGTTTCTTCCTCTGTGAAATGGAGCTTTACCCATGAAATGATACAAAGTAGCCTCTGGCCCTCTTTTAAACTTGAAGCTCACTTCTTCCAGGAAGCCCTCCTAGAATGATGAGGTCCCAGGAAATAGCGTTTATATGTACTCAGATTCACAGATGTACAGTTCAGCTCTCATTTGCTCATGCGTTGCTTGAGACATGTTTTGATATTCTTTTCTCTTAGCTCTGTTTCACAAATTAGGGATAAGATCTCAGGGAGGACCTAGTCCTTTAAAGTTTTAACTCTCCCCCTCTTTTGTGCCTTCTCTAGCATCACATAATTTGAAGCTCTGCATCGTGGCATGCTGTACGTACTGTAGAAACTTTCCTACGGTGAAGACCAGCACTTGAGCTTTACCGTTTATAGAATCTAAGACACAATCAACTGGAAGACGAAGCACGATTTCAGGTGCCGCTGAGAAACAGTGCTGCCCGCTCACCTATGTAACTGAATTGTTGGCTATGACCTGATTTCAGCAATGGTACGGTGTGCATCTTAGACTCAGTGAACTGTAGTGGTTGCCCCCTTATCTCTGACAAGTGGCTGAATGGGCCAGGAGCCTGCTGGGTTTTCAGGTCGCTGCCCTCTGGTTTGGAGTGAACCGTCCACATGGGTGGCTGACGAAGCAGCAGCCTTACGTGCACACTGCCTTGATGGGCCAAGGGCCCCCCGCTCCCCCCGCCGGACACGGGCACAGTTAGCAGATGGAGAAAGTAGCAGAGCTTGAGACATTCAAGAAAAAGCTCAGCTCTGATGCCTAACGGGCAAGTGGAACCTGGGGAGGCAAGGGAACTCATCTGAGTGGGGAAAGTCTGGGCATATTCTGCTCCTGAGCTGTAGGCTCCTGGAGGGCCCATGATTGGAAGGGGAGGAGGTGAGGAAGGAATCTCCTCTAGAGATGAGAAGGAAGGCCAGGCTCTTCAGAGGGAGGGATAGGACGGTGGGAGGCAGGGTCAAGAAGGAGGGTAGGAAGCATCATCCTTCCAAAGGCCTGGCCCCGGCTGAACCCCCAAAAAGCCAGGAAGGGGGTGGGAATGGGAACCCTTTTCCCAAGGGCGGGAAAAGCCCAGAACATTTGCTGTGGCATAGTTGTCTCTAAAAGGTGTGTCCCAAGTCCCCTGGGCTTGAGGAGATAATGGGATCCTAGAGCTAGGGACAACCTCAGCTGATCCTCTCTCGGTTCTTTGCCAAAGGAGGAGAATGTCTCAATTCTGTCAGCAATGTCTTAAAAATATATCCAGGGTCTGACCACTGTTAGCCTCCCATGAACTCAGGTTTGGTTGCCTGTGACACAGACTCTGCGCTGGTGGGGTTTGCGAGCAGGACCTGGTGTACTGGGGAGGGCTCTCAGGCCCTATGCCAAGGGAAGGGAGAATGAAGTTGAGCTGCCATGCAGACCTCACCGACCCCTCAGGACCTCCAGAGAGGGGTGGCCCCTGGAGGTGTCCTGAATGCATCGACCAGTGTTTGCCTTCAAGATGGGTATAACCTTGCGCCCGGGGGCTCCCTTGGGCCAGGAGCAGCATTCCAGCACTCGGAGAATAAGTGCCTCCCTCTACCACATCACCCCTGCCCCTCCTGGCCCAAGATCACGAGCCTGGCCCCCAATTAGCAGTCACACTCCCAGAAGCCCATGTCCACTGTGATCCAGGACCCTGCCCTCCGGGGCCATCAGCTTCTGTTTTGTTCAGCCAACACATAACCTACCTCTCTCTGCTCTTCCTCAAATGCGCCAGGGGCCCCTGCTCAGGCCTTTGCCCTTAGAATGCTGCACCCCTACACATCCCCGTGGCTGGTTCTCTCACTCTCTCAGATCTGTTAAAAACTGTCCTCTTCATGAGGCCTTTCTGAGCGTCCCTACCTAAATGTCCCCCACCCACCTAACCCGCCGTCATGCGCTGAATTGTGTCACTCCAAATTCACATTCAGCATGTGACTGTGTTTGGAGACGGGCCCTTTAAAGAGGCGATTCAGCTAAAATGAGGTCACATGGGTGGGCCCTAATCCAATCTGTGTCCCTATAAAAAGAGGAGATTAGGACACGACCCGCACAGAGGGAAGACCGAGCGAAGCCACAGGGAGAAGACGCAGACTTGCCAACACTGATCTCCGACTTTCGGCCTCAGGAACCTTGAGAAATAAACTTCTGTTGTTTAAGCGCACCGTCTGTGGAACTTTGTTCGAGTGGCCGAGCCAACGAATACACTCTCATGAGATAAGTCTTCTTCCCTGCTCAAATTTTCTCCTTAGCACGCGTCCCTCTCTAAGAAACCGTTTGTTTATTTACTTACTTGTGTCTGTCACCCTCCTCCCACTGTGTCATAAGCTCGCCGAGCAGGGATGCTTTCGTCCGATTTGTTCCAGGCATGTCCCCGGTCCGAGAACGGTGCCTGATTCCTCGTGGGAGCCAGAGAAGCCAGTCCAGTGAAGAAATGAATCCTTAGTACCCTGTCGTCCTGTGAGGGCGGGGGATTCGCAGCTCGGTGGTCGTCCATTGCAGTGATTCTTACCCCGGCTGATGAATTTAGTGAACAAATATTTTCTGAGCACCTACTGTGCGCCAAGGATTGTTCTAGACACTGGGGAAACCGCCACAGCACACAAAGCAAAGTCCCTGTCACAGAGGGGACATCAGACAAACAAAATGCATAACATGCTAGGTGGTGATAGTGCTGCAGAGGACAGGAGTGTGCTGGGGGGGGCAGTTTTAAACGGGGGTCAGTGGGGCCCTCGTTGAGAAGTGACGTCAGAGTTAGGGACTGACGTCATCCAGGGAATGAGCCCCGCGGGTGTCTCAGGAAGGGCGTTTCTGGTGCCAGGAACAGCCAGTGCAAACCCCTGAGGAGGGAGTGCCTGGACGGGGGAGGGGGAGGGGACGTGGGCCCCGGTGACCCTGAGAGGTGGGAGCAGAGCAGTGACATGCTCAGGTACGGTTTTCATCAGACCATCCCAGGGTCTGGAATGTTGAAACCTGAGTGCAGGGCAGAGGGAGGGAGAGCAGGGAGCAGAGAGGGAGGCCACTGCTGGTGGTGCCCCGAGGAGGGTGGGAGCAGGGTGGAGAGAAACGGTCCTATCCTGCGTAGGCTTTTGAAGGGTGAGCCAATGGGTTTTGGTGTTAGAGCAGATAAAAATATGCGTGAAAAGACAGGAGTTTGGACAACCCCACGCTTTTGGCCAGAGCAAGATGGCACTGCCGTCAGATGGGGGCAGCGGAGGGAGGTGGCTGGGCCATGTGACTTTGGGATGGCCTATTGCAAGTGCAGGCGGAGGTGTCGCGTGGGCGCTAGGTCACGCAAGCCTGTTGTCCGTGGGCGCGGGCTGGGCGGGGATGTAAATATGGAGGCTATGGGCATCCCGATGGCATTTAAAGCCTGGGGCCTGGATGAGTCCGCCAGAGGCTGGGAGCTGGCCTGTGCCACTGAGTGGGGGGACGCCCGTGAGGTGGGAGGACAGCCGGCCGTGATAGGGTCCTGGAGTCCAAGGGAAGGAAGCGTCTCAAAGAGCAGATGGCAGAGGCTGCAACGGGTTCGGCAGGACGAAGACTGGTCCTTGGGGTCCAGCCAGGTGCAGGTCACTGCCGCCCCGATGGAAGCACTTGCAGAAGATGGGTGGGGATCCAGTGGTTCTTCTTTACATCTCGATTCTTCCTGCTTTACCCTCTGTGTGCCTGAGGATCGAGTTATCGACTTCAGAGGACTAAAAGCACACAGGAAACTTGGGGAGGCAGTGACTCTGAACCCCCTTAGCTTCCCCGGCGAAACCCTCCAGGCTCCTGTGACTGCTCCCCATACCTCCTGGTCTCCATCACTCTCGTCACACTCATTGCTTTCTTGGGCTGGCTTCCAGGTTCCCCACTGCTGAAAGCCTGGTGAACACTCCAGACACACTTCTCTGGCGAGGCTCTGGTTGGCATGGAGCATAATTAAGGGGATGACGGGACTCTGCTGAGTGTGGTCCCTGTGGCGTCATCCGCAGGTTGCTTTGCCCTCTGTATTATCTGTAGCCCGGGGGGTGGAGAGGTGGAAGATATAGAAGCTTGAGCAGATTCTGTCTCATGGGTGTGGTGTGTGCTTCCCATCAGGAAGCATCCGTCTGGTTGCTCCTCTTGGTGACTCCTCTTGGTGACGTAGCGACCCCTGGCCCTCCATGCTGTAATCCTTGCCAACAGTTACGTTCTATTCTCTCACTCCTTCTTCATTTGTAGCCAAAATTCTTCTAGAAACAGAAAATTCCCATCGACTCTATGTCACCCAGTGGGCACACAAACAAAACAGGCAGAATAGGATTCTTTTCCTTTATTTACTAGCGTTCAAATAATGACCGCGAATTGGTCCATTAACATCCTCCAATGGTGACCAATGAGTTTGTCTTCCCAAGTTTGTCATTCCCGTCCATTGTGGTTTTATCCTTAGTGATGCTCAGAAAGTTCCCTCCTAGGCCAGCTTTCTTTCTTGAGCCTTCACCCTTCCCAGAGCTCTGACCCCACAATTTCCCCGCCACGTCTCCCTGCCCTTTCCCTTGCTAGCAGTTCACTCTCTGAATCCTTCACGCATCTGGGCTTGACTTGGCTGCCTTCACAGACAAAATCACGTAGGAGTCCAAGGCAAGAACAATGCAGCCCAACGGCCTGGGTATGAAGCCTGGATCTACCCTTTCTCTCTGCTGGGCAATCTTGAGCAATTTACTTCCCTTCCTGGTGCCTCAGATGCCTCATCTTTTGTAAGGACTTACGAGAAGGAAGATGCACGGAAGGTTTGGGACAGTGCTGGGCCGGAGCGGGCACTAGGGAGGTGCTAGCCATCAGTCCGCGCGTCCCCCACTATCCCACTGGCTCCGCAAAGCTAGGGTGTGTCTGTACAGTTACTATTGGACACCCGGCACCTGGTGTTCAAGGAGTCCTTGCTGAGTGGAGAATGAGGGCGTAGGAACAGCTGCTTGGAGCTGGCTGGGAAACTGAGCCTCTTAAGGAGACACGGGGGCTGCTGTGGCAGCTCAGATGATACATGCCTTTGTCTTTCATTCCCGGAGTCCAGAATCGAAATACCGATGCACAAGGTACTGATAACACGGGAGAAACATTGAGCGGTTACAGGGATCGGGGCAGTAGGAGGGTGGTTCTGTATTCACTGTCGTAGGCAGCCCACAGCCCAGGAAAACTGGGCTGCCATCTGCTTGAGCTGACATTTACCGGCTGCGAGGAAATGAAGTGAGCTCCTGTCTCGCTCTCTGCCGGCTTCGGGGCAGAAACAGCTGTGCGTCCGGGCCGCCGCCCCCACCCCCCGGGCTCTCCTGGCCTGTGGCTCAGCTCCCTGGAGCGCTGGCCTGGCTCCAAAGCAGTGGGCTGGGTGTCAGGCAGCCTTCAGAGGAGGGTGGTTGGAGGCTCATTATTATCGTTGCGAAGAAGGAATATACGCCACTGTATCTATCTATCTACACTCACCTGCACACACAGGGCTGCACTTAGCCCTGAGGTCCAGGGAGCTGGGTACAGGCTTGTTTGCTTTTTCTCATAGCTCACCTCAAGCAGCGTGGCCTCTCGGAGCCCCAGAGCCGGCCCAGACACAGTTCAACCTCCCCCAGCAGAGCGAGCCCGGCCGCCGGCTCCCGCACGGACAGCTCTGCAAATCCAGATGCCCCAGTGATTCTGACGCTCTCCCACGTGTTTGTGCGGCACCTGCCCTCTCTGCCCCCAGGTCCGGGGCGGCTTCCTTCCCTCCCTTCCTTCTCCTATAGAAGGTCAACAACACGGGCTGCTTCCATGGGTTGAAACAGAGACTGCTTGCGTGGGCACCTGGGGGCTCTGGGGACCCGGGGAGCTTTCTTCCCTTCTGTGGCCACGGCCAAGCTCCGCACACAGGTATACCAGCTGCCAGTCGGGCCTGCATCCAGCATCACAGCTGGAAAAACCACCCACCCAAAGCACACCTGTCCCAGGTCGGGGTGTGGGGCCTTTCAGATGCCACAAACAGCTAGCGTCTGTCGGTTCCATTCCATACTCAGGGAGCACCTCCCCGCGGCAGGACGATGATCTGGACTGGATTCTGGCTGCTCAGTCACTGTCAGCTCCATGGTTCTGACAGCCAAGGTCTTTCTCCTGTACCCCTCCTATGCCTCCCACTAGAGCCAGGCAAACAGCTGGCTGGGGGAAGGGGGAGGAAGTGGGGAGGGCCACATTCCCACTCAGGAGGAGGCTCAGGCCTCTGGAATGTGCTCCCACCTCGGCGGATGGGCAGGCCTGTTTCCGTTCCATCCTTGACCCTCCTCTGAAATACCTCCTTTCTGAGTGGGTTCCAGGATCCATAGATAGAGAAAATGCCTGTATCATCGTCACTCCAGGGAGCAGGGGAAAAAGTTACGGGGGGTAAGTTTTAGTTCAACGTTCAGAAGATTTTTCGAGCAATTCGGGGTCAAAAAGGAAAAAGGCTGCCTGTGTACAAGTAAGTTCCCCATTTCTGGAGGAATGCACGTGGGAGGCTGGGTAATGACCCCTCCTGTGGGTGTGTGAGAAAGGAAACACTTCCTTGATGGGTGTATTTTTCTGCATGTTTGAAAACTTCCAAAATATTAATTTGTAATGGAGATAAAATGAAATAAAATTAAAAATTAAAAAATTTAAATTATATAAATGAAATATGCATCTACAACTATGCTATTTTTCTGTACGTTTAAAAATTATTGAAATAGAAATTCTTTTTTTTTTAGATTTATTTATTTATTTGAGAGAGAGAGAGTGCGAGCAGGGGCAAGGGCAAAGGGAGAGAGGAAGATAAGCAGACCCCCTGATGAGTGGGGAACCCGACATGGGGCTCAGTCCCAGGACCCCGAGATCATGACCTGAGCTGAAACCAAAAGTCACGTCACTTAACCGACTGAGCCACCCAGGCGTCCTGAAATAGAAATTCTTAAAACATTTGCTCTTAAATTTTGCTTTGTCATACAATTCGTTTTTCAAAGTACAGTGAAATTTCGGATCATTACATGGTCATTCCCTTTTGAATAAAATTAGTTCTATCTTCCAGTAATAATATATTGTAGCCAGTGTGTCAGGGGTACTTTGGAAGGCTTTGGCTGGAAGCAACAGAAAACTCAACTCTAAAAGTCTTAGATGAACCAGGACTCTCAAGGTAGGTTATCTAGAGGCAGGATAGCTGCTCTCGGCTCTTTCTTTCTGTACCATAATTCTTAGGGGGGTAGGGAAGCTGAAAGGACTCCATGTTAGGAAGGCTCCATCTCTGCTGTTTTCCCTTGAGGCCCTATTTATTCATGTTCTAGATATATATTTTAAAGATTTTATTTATTTATTTGAGAGAGAGAGAGAGCGTACAAGCAAGAGGAGTGGCAGAGGGAAAGGGAGAAGCAGGCTCCCCATGGAGGAGGGAGCCAGATGCGGGGCTCGATCCCAGGACCCCGAGATCATGACCTGAGCTAAAGGCAGAAGTTGAACTCACTGAGCCACCCAGGGGCCCCCTATATTTCTGACTGAAAACCAAAGAAGCTATGTTCCCACTCCAATGGGAAAGAAAGAGAATTAATCATTCTTTGAGTTTTTGTGCTAGGCTCCCAAAACCTGATCATATCTAAGAAGAGCTCGATCCCAAACATGTTCCAGGACATTAGCTTTGAACAAACCCCAGCCCACACTGGCATCAACACCCCCTACCTTCCGTGATTTATAAAATAACACCTATTACTCAGTCAGTCACCTTTGGTCAGACCCTATCCTGAATTCCTGAAGGAACATTTATCCTAGACTCCTTTTACAATATAAGCCCCTAGCCCCAAACGATGCAGAGACTTGTTTTCTTATCCCTTCCAAGTCTCCCAGACACTCCATCTGCTATTTTCTGTCACTTATGCTATTCAATAAACTCTGCTTTCACTTTCTCAGCTCACATTTGATTTCTATCCTGCACAAAGTCAAGGACCCTCTTCGCTGGTCCTGCTGGGTCCCTTCTGGGTCCTCAGACCCAACCTACTGCATCATTAGCATACTGGCCCGCTGTCCTCATGACCATGAAATGGCTGCTTCAGCTCCAGCCATCACACTGATATTCAAGGTAGAAAGAAGAGAGGAATCCAAGGCCTCTCTGTCTCTTTTATAAGAAAAAGGCAAAAGGCTTTCTCCAGAAGCCCCCAACAAATTTCCACTTAAATCTCTGGCCAGAACTGTGTCACACGGCTGGCATTAGCTACAATGGGGACTTTTCCCATCTCTTTGGTTGAGATGGACAAGAGAGAAAAGGGAATGGGAATGAATGGGTTTGGGGTTGGCTGACCAGCAGTGTCTCTCATGTCTATAACAGCGAGCATCTGATAATCAGTCTTGTTATTATTTTGGTATAAGACTTAGTGCTGCCTTAGAAACAGTTATGTTATTTTAATTTTTTCCATATGTCATTTCTTTCCTCCCAAGGCAATCACAAAGTAGAAAGGACAGGAATGACTTCTGATTTGCTACAAGACACTGAAGCCCTGATAGCTTGCTATTAGACACCAGCTCTCCGGACTTCTCACCCTGTGTTTTTTTCTGTTGGCTACACTGCCTCTGATTTCATATTTTCTCTCTTGGAGAGAACCTGTTTTTCCACTGCGCTGCTGACGAATTGAGCAGGCCTAGTTTGCTGAGTAAGGCCCCGATCATGGGTCTTTCCAGCATCGCTCTAGAAACAGGAGGTCACCTTGTCACTGTACTTGCAGACATGTCTCTACAGGGAGCATGGAAGACAAAGCTCGCAACTCAATAAGTACGACAGCCTTTCTCAGATCAACCTACGTGACTGTTTCAGCCACAAAACCGAACATGAATCAATGAGAACTAAGAAAGGATCTGTCGCAGCTTCGTGAGCAAGACAGAAAGTAAAAGGGAGCTGTGACCCAGGGTCAGCTGGCTCCTATCCCCTCTTAGGTCCTTATTTCTGGAGTTTCCCAAAGGATCCCTTGTTAAAGGAAGTATTCTGTTTGCTTCTCAATAAAGACAAGGCTTTTTCTTTTTCTTTTTTTTTAAAGATTTATATATATTTTTTAAAGATTTATTTATTTATTTATTAGTGCGAGCGTGCACACTAGTGGGAGGAGCAGAGGGAGAGACAGAGAACCCTCAAGCAGACTCCCTGCTGAGTGCGGAGCCCGACGCAGGGCTCGATCCCAGGACCCTGAGAGCATGACCTGAGCCAAAACCAAGAGTCGGATGCTCAGCCGACTGTGCCTCCCAGGCGCCCCAAGACATGGCTTTTGACCTATAAAAATACCCCAGAGTTTGTGCTCCTAAGCATATTTATGTTAGCAATCACTGGTGACCCCCCCATCCGGCTCCCCTGTAGCCTCCCGGGCAGCAATGTATCTGCAGTCAGAGAAGGGTTTCCAAGCTCCACCTGCTTCCTGCCTTCCACCCAGGACACTCCCCGGGCCTGCACGGATTTATTTAAACAATAATAGGGATGAGAGAGCCAGGGGTTTTCTCACTCTCTTTACTGCCCTCTCTTTCCCTTCTGTCTGCCACAACTTTCCCTCTTCTTTCCAAAACCCTTCCTACAAAAATCTCACACTCCGCACACAGGGCCGCCAGCTCTGAAAAGAAACACACCTCCATAGCAGAAGGATTCTCTCCTTCCTCCTCCAGGCTCAGCTCCTTTCCCCTTCTCCCCTCCTTTGGCCGAAGGGGGAGAGCAGCTCTTCACTCTGCCATCCGTTACCACTTAACCACAGAGGCTCTGGGCGTCCAGAGACCCTGGTGCTTTCCACGGTGACCGCATGGACTGAAATACTGGGTCTTGCTCGGCGCATGGACTGAAATACTGGGTCTCGCTCGGACTGCTGACCGGGGGAACCCGCTGGAAGCTTTGAGGACCTCGTGGGAACTACCCCCCGTCCACTTGAGATTAGCCACCCCTCCCTCTTCATGACATTCCTTCAGTCCGTGTGTTATAAGGAAAAGAAAAACGAGACCAGGATGTGGCGGATGAAATGTGAGCAAGTCTGGTTAGATGAGGAAATTGACTCTGTCTTGAAAGCAGTAGCTCTGGATCCTTAACTGAGTCACCCATACCTTTCAAAAGATAATGAAAAGTATAAATCCCTTTCCGCAGAAATGTTAGAAATCAGCGGTGGCTCCCCAACTGCGAAAAATGCAAAATACGCACATGAATAATATCCCTACAATCGGATGTGGTTCTGAAAGAGGATTTCGGCTGCCTCCCTTTTGACCTCAAACTTTCCCGTTGGGTTCTCCTTTCTGGCTGGTCTCTCGGCTCAGACGGGAGACCCTGTGGGGGAAGCCTCCCCTGATGGGAACCGAAACCACCCTTCAAGCACCACGGCCTGCCCTGAGCCAGCAAGACCCTGGCCGTGATTGACTCCGCGACAACGATGGACTTGACCTTCACGGCCCCCCCGCCTTTGCCCCACATCTCTCCTTATATAAACCTGGAAGTACTTGGCGCACTTTGGAGACCGTCTTTGAGACGCTAGTCCGCTGTCTGCCCGGCGTTGGCCTCGCTAGAATAAATCCCTTTCCTGTGCCGCCACCCACTTGTTCCTCTGCCTTTGGGTTTTGTCTGTGGCGAGTGGCCAGCCCTGGTCTGTCTGGGACCCCCGGAGCCAGACGCTCCCGCACCCCTGCGCCCCGGCTACAATTCACTGATACACACACCTGGTATTACGTGGACCACAAGGCCAAGAATTCCTATTTCAGAAGCAAATTAGAAAAAGCTGCTCACAGAAGTACCTCCAAAGATGGTGCGAAGTAAATCTTAACTACAAAGACACATCCAAGGCGCTAGAAAGATGCAGTTACTATTATCCCAAAGAAGAGGATCAAGAACAGAGGGCTCCTCAGGCGCCTGGGTGGCTCAGCCGGTTAAGTGGACTGCCTTCGGCTCAGGTCATGATCCTGGAGTCCCTGGATCGAGTCCCGCATTGGGCTCCCTGCTCGGCAGGGAGTCTGCTTCTCCCTCTGACCCTCCCCCCTCTCATGCTCTATCTCATTCTCTCTCTCAAATAAATAAATAAATAAATCTTTAAAAAGAAAAAGAAAAAAAGAACAGAGGGCTCCTCAAGAAAAACCTTAATTCCCCAGGGAGGGTGAAGGGGGCCAATACTTCTGCCATTGTAGGTATATGCCTACAGTTTATGGGAACTCATTTTCCATTCTGTTTAGATGTTGGTGTGGGAAGAACAAACCCTTCTGAATTACAATGGATCGATCGATCTGTCTGAAGTGATTTCAACACATCAACAAAAGAACTCAATCTCACAAAAGTGGTTTATTTGCTTTTATAAATTTTTGTTTTGTTTTGCTTCTTCCTGCTCTTCATTCTGAGGTGGGTTGAGAGTTTTCCAAATGGCCCATTTTCAACTACATCTGCTTCATTAAGCCAGCGTATTTCCAGACACCTGTTTAGGGCTACGGATGAATTCACACTCCGGCTCAGTAATGAGCGGCTACATGGGTCGGGGGGATGCGGTGTAGCTTGTGTTAACCTAAGACACAACTCCAATTCAGTGGCTCAGAGTGGCAGGGGTTATTTCTTCTCATGAAAATTCTGGGCAGGGTAGGGGGAGCAGCGCCCCAGGCCACCTCCCCTCTGTGTGTTGGCTCAGTGTTCTAAGCTGCTTGAACCCTTCAGCACCTCCTCCCCTTGTCAGCCTGGGCCGCGAAGAGCCAGAGAGATGCGCACCCACAATCCCGTGCGTCCCCCTGCAAGTGCACACATTGCGCTTTGGCTGGAGCAAGGCACACGGTGACACCTGATTTTATGGAGATGGGGAAGCGTGGTGCACCAGTGGGCCCAGAGGAAGGCGAGAGCCACGACGTAGTAAACTATGTACCGCCTCCTGCAGGTGTCCAAAATCCACCTCCGGCTTCGCAACTGAACTATAACACAAAGAGTTTGGGAATAAAGAGGAACACTGACTGTATGGCTTTGCCCGGCAAAGGAGCCGCAACAGGTTAAGGCCCTCAGAACTGCAACCCCTACCCCGCAAAGGGGCTGGGGGGTTTTATATGGAAATACAGGATCTAGCCGGTTTCACCAGGAGTCATGTACTTGCTGCCAGCCTCGCATGTTTTTCGGGGAGGGGTGGGGGTCCCAGGTTCCTGAAACAAAAGGCTAAGAAGGAAGGAGGGGAGGTTTGCAGAAGAGAGCAAGAAAAAACGTTAGAGTTTAAAACTGAGCCCAGGGGCGCCGGGTGGCTCAGTCGGTTGGGCGTCTGCCTGTGGCTCAGGTGGTGATCTCAGGGTCCTGGGATTGAGCTCCCTGCTCGGAGGGGAGCCTGCTTCTCCCTCTGGCCCCTGCTGCTCCCTCATTCATGTGCACGCTCTCTCTCAAATAAATAAAGAAAAGAAAAAGAAAAAGGTAACACAGAGGGTAGGAAGTAACACGTAGTTAACGAACTACTAGTTAACCCAAGTAACACGAGTTAACGAACCAAACATGTAGTTAACGAACTACTAGTTAACACAAGTAACACGAGTTAACGAACCAAACTCGCAATCCGTGGGCGCCTAGTTGAGATGAGGCCCCGGTCCAGTCCAGGTCAGCTCTCGGCACTTACTGTTTATTATGTTCAAGCCATGAAGAGAGGATCTCAGTTCTGTTTCGAGATCAATCGGGCAGAGCTGCCTTTTTAAAGTGGCCAGGGTCTGAAGAGTCCGACGGCTGCAAAAACCGTCCCCTTTTAAAGGGATTGAATCGGTCTGGGGCCCGCAGACCTCCCCTGCTTCTGCGGCTTGTCAGTCCGGGGCGTCGTCAGCTGGTGCTGGTCCCTGTGCAATCTGGGAGCTGCAGTCCTTTGCTGCCTGCGTCATTGCTGGACAGAGGACCCCGCCTGGCAGGAGTGACCCCATCTTGCTCTCGGCAGGATCCGGCTGAGGTCCAGGTGAATCCATAACCCTACCAGCCAACATGTATTAAATGAAGTAGGGAATTGAACTTAGCCTGAGGCTGTTTCCTTACCCACGTGGGAGGGAACCGGCAAGCGGGGTCACCAGCACAGGGCTGCTATCTACGTGTGATTCTAGGTAGCCCTGCACCCCTAACTTTTCTAGTATTAACCACCCTTTCTTTCCCATCTTCACTGGAAAATTATTTATGTTCTGATGGCTAAGGAACAGAATAGAAAACCATTATTAATGTCTGACTGCCAAAAATAGACGGGTGCCAATCAGAGAACGGAATCAATTAAGAAAAGTAACCCGGAGCAGGCAAACCGGGGGTGAGAAGCAGTGAGAAGCGGTCTTCCTCCATCTCCAGGATGGAATGGCCTCCCTCTGGGGAGAACCGGTCTCCCTGCCTGTAACTTAGCCAACACCAACTCTGGGAAGTGGGAAGATTCTGGAGCTCCGCCATCATTTGTGAAGGACCAGGGTTCGCCAAGGCAAAGGGAATCGGGAATGCTCTCCAGACGTGGAAGGGGCTGGAGCAGAGGGGTGCCACTCCTGGACTTTGCCGTCCCCGTGCATGACAACAGGCCAGTGACTATTCTGGAAGAGAGCGTGGGCAGCCATGCCCCACCTCGTGACTGCGGCAGAGTGAGTTCGTGCTTGCTGACCGCTCTGAGGTCAAGAAGGTTTGGAGCAGAAAGGGGGTGTCTCGACGTTCACCCGGGATCGCATCTGCTGGGAGGCTCCCCTTTGTCTCCTGCCCGGTGAGATGTGCCTGGAGCAGCTGGTGCAACTGGCGGCCACGTGCGGCTTTTGAATTGGCGGGGCCACCAGGTGATGGAAGCAGAAGGTTCCTGGACACACCCCGGCCTTGCCCTGAAGCCCACTGGCACTGTCCCCAGAGGGGTCACTTGGGGTGGCTGTCCCAGAGAGGCGCTGCCCCCCAGCTGAAGCCAGGAGGCCATGGGCCTGGGGCCCCCGCCCTGCTCTTCCCTAAGTGACTCACGGACATTCCCAGTGCTGGGAAGGGCTTTGGGACAAATCTGCTCTCGTCTTGGCACTTCGTGCAGGAGGGGACAGGGCAGAGAGCGTGCAAGACTTGTTCAAGGTGACAGATGCTGGCGTCACACTTGGGACCAGAGTCCTGGGCTCCAACTCACAATTCAAGTCTCTTCATGCTACAAGGGTTTCTCCAGGGGAAGGACGGTCTTCACACCTTAGCGGGCTGATCATCCGTGCCAGGGCTGAAGCGAACAGCATGCACTGAGGTCCGTGCGCTGGACAGACTCCCTGTCTGTCTGGGTACTAACGAGTAGGCAGGGAACAGAGTTGGTACTAACATGCAAAACGAAATTGTTCCGAGAGCTTAAACACTTTTTTGAATTACAATACAAGCTCAATTTAAAAAAGCTCGGAAAAATATAATTTTATGATAAAGATCACTCATGAACATCCCCCCAAAGAACCACTAGCAAAACTCACTGTTAGCTTTGCTCTGTTCCCTGGTTCAAGTGTTGTGGTTTTAGCCTTAGTGCGGCCCCTGTTGCCTCTATTCCCCAACTACCCTGGGCTCTTTTAGATTTTACCGATAATAGCCTTGATTCTCGTCCACATGCATTTACTGAGCACCTTCGGTATGTACCTGAAACCATCTATTGGTCCCCAGGCAAAGAACAATTGTCTGTTCACTTTATGTTTTTTTTTAAAGATTTATTTTATTTGAGAGAGAGCGAGAGAGAGCGCTTGAATGCGAGTTGGGGAGAGGGACGGGGAAGAGAGTCCTCAAGCAGATTCCCTGCTGAGTGCAGAGCCCAGCTCAGAGCTTGATCCCACGACCCATGAGATCGTGACCTGAGCTGAAACCAAGACTCAAGACGCTTAAGCGGCTGAGCCACCCAGGTGCCCCTTGTCTGTTTGTTTTAAATTAGGGTTTCTCAATTTGGGTACTCTGGACATTTTGGGAGGATAATTTTTTATTTCGAGGGCTGTTCTCTACATTGGAGGATGTTCAAAGCATCTCTGACTTCTACCCACCAGACGACAAGACCAGCCTCAGGAAATGTGTTCTGGAGGCTCCATTACCTCTGGCTGAGAACCACTGCAGAACAGCCGAGGGGGCTGTGTTCACATTCACCACATGCTGTGACGTCACTTTATACCCCGGGGAGAAGCGCATGACTCCAGCTTGCCGGTAAACCAACATTACTTTCAGGAAGTCAGTGGCTTTTCTCCAGGATGAATGACTCACCACCAACCCCACTTCCCGGGCTTCCCCGACTCTGCTCCAGGCGCTCTCTCTGCAGGGCAGCTCCCAGCCATGAGCCATGGGTTGGGTGGGAAGTCTTCAGCCTTTATCACAACACTACTTCACATCTTCAAGCAGCTGGTCTTGCCCAGCCCAAGTTACACACCTTACCCGTCTCTCTCTCTCTCCGCCCACAGAGCTCTGCAAATCCTGCAGACCGATTGCTTCATTGAACTTTTTGTTTTGGCCTAAGATGTGGACATGTACCTCCATCTGCAGACCTCTGAACTTACTGTTGACTGAAAAGCCCAACGGTCTTCTCCCCAGAGGTTTCACGGCCTTCCAACTGGCTCACCATGGTCCTGTGAATTGCCAACGGCATTCAGATATTCTCGTACAGCACGGCGGCTACTGTTGACAATATATTTGAAAGTTGCTAACAGAGTAGATCTTAAAGCTTCTCGCCACACACACACGAAATTATAACTACGTGAGGGGATGGGTATGTTCACAAACCTTATTGTGGTCATTTGCAAGTAAGAGTCATGTATCAAACCATCACACCATCTACTTAAATTCATACAATATGACATGTCAGTTATAGCTCAATAAAGCTGGGGGGAAAAAAATCTCCTTTCTGCTTTGCTTAAACTTCGATTTGTTCTCCTGTTCCTTTATACTGTTTGCTGGTGGAGTGTGACAGATTATTCCTCATCCTTTCACGGTCTGTATTTTTGGTGGTTTTATTCATTTTCTTATTCTTTTTTAGAAATGTTATCTTACAAAAGTTAACAGCTGGGTCTGGGATTTGATTTTGTTCTATTTATGAGCAAATAAATGTTACTGTGTCACGGACACTGGCAGGAGGCTTCGGTGAGGCAGACCACAGATTTTATTACCCGTGGTGCCCCAAACAGCACGAGCTTTGTCTTCTCCCTGACCTGCAAGCCTCTGGGGGACAGTGGGGGTCGGAAGACCCCCGAGGGATGCGTGCACATGGAGTGAGTGGGTTGTCTTACAGGAGAGGAGCCTGAAGCTTTCACAGCAAGCAGTAAGCAAGGCTGCTTTTCTTCCGGGAAGAAGACGTTAGGTCATCCATCAAGGATGCTTGCTGGAAACAGCCCTGAGAAATGGCCCGGGTCTAAAGCAGTCCAGGCTCTTCCTTCTTGGCACAGCGGGCCAAGCCAGGCAGAGTGCAAGAGACCCGTGGGAAAGTGCCCCCCTTGCCAAAGGAACTCAAATTCTACTTTCTTGGAGAAAAGAATTTTAAATCAAACAGGTTGAAAAAATTAAGACACACACGTAGGGGCCTATTTCTTTATTTGGGGATATCTTACGTTGCTCCGGGCTTGATGCGTGTTTCTTCTGCTAATTGTGTGTGTCACAGGGCACCTGGTCGGTCCCGCTGCTCCGTCTGCTCCCGGGGGGAGGACTGGGGCCCTTTGCCCGCTGCAGGGAAGGCCTGTGTGGACCGTCTCGGCAAGGAGACTGACCCCATTCTTCCACCGTGCCTCTACCTCTCCTCTCCAAATACTGATTTTTACAGGGTCGAGATTTGTCAATATTATAAATTATTCTGTAATTAGAGCTCTTCTGTGATAAAGGTTGGTACAAATAAAATAAGAAATCAACATATCCTCTAAGAACCACATGATGTGTTTGAACCCATAGGGAACGAAATATACAGTAGGTCATTAAAATGTTGCCACTTGAAGGAGAATTTTCCAAGTATCAACATGCAACGGGTAATTTTTCACTTTCAAATTCCTGTTACTTTTCCCGGCTCGCAGTCAGCTACCATTTTTCTGAGTACCTCCTGCCATTTTTTTCCCTTAGGTTCCTTCTTCATTTTCCTGGCCCCTTCCTCAGATCAATTAAATCAGAACACATGGGAGGTATCATCAACTTGACGAGGCCACAGAGTGTGCAGATACTTGGTGTGGGGCCCAGAACAAGAGAAGGCTTCTCAGCAGGTCCAGGCTGCCATGCAGGCTGCTTTGCTCTCACGCTGGGGCCGTCAGATCCAGTGCAGCCAAAGGCACCTGGAATGTCCAAGCAGACAGGGATGCCGTCTGGAGCCTTCGGCAGGGCTGAGCGATGAAGTGAGCCCTTAGGATTTGGGAGCCAAGCCTTGCTATCCCCACCCAGATAACGACTCCGCTTGTGAGAAACAGCTCTTGTTCGCTACTGGGCCTCAGGAGAGACTAAACGCTTACCCATGGGCCCCCAAGTTACGGCGAGACCTGAGCTGCCCCTCGTGAACTGGGTGCCATCTGACCCATCGGGCCATGAAGTCGGGGACGCACGGCAGCACTCCATCATCAAACGGAAGTGGTACATACGTGATCAGGCCCGAGCAGGCCCCATAGGGACAAGTGGCCCAAACGCCCACGGTCCCCACTCCTGCTACACCGTCTTCTCTCTCCCAGCCTGACCTATGGCTGCTTGGGGAGCTGTCGAAGATCAGCTGACAGAGGAAGAGAAGACTCAGGCCTGGGTTCCAGGTGGTTCTGCACGGGATGTAGATGCCACCCGAAAGCAGACGGCTGCAGCACCACAGCCCCTCCCCGGGACATGCCTGAAGGACACGGTCGAGGGACATCCTGCCCAGTGCGCCCGGCTGCTCATGTTGCTCGGAAGGAGAAATGGCCTCCTGGGCGGATATCTATCCATTCTTGGGCTGTGGCCATGCTTTGGCGGATGGATGGTCAGATACCTGAAAGGAACAGGACTGGACAACTGGTGAGAAAGAAATTTGGGGGAGAGGAATGTGGACAGACCTGTCCTCAAAAAAGTGAAGATCTCGGTGTCCCAAAAATGCCCACCAAAGGTGACCTCCGCGGAAGAGGATTTTAATAATCAAGTGGATAGGATGGCCTGTTCTGTGGACACCAGTCAGCCTCTTTCCCCAGCCGCCCCTGTCATGTCCCAGTGGGCTCATGAACAAAGTGCCACGGCAGCAGAGATGGAGCTTATGCGTGGGCTCAGCAGCAGGCACTTCGCTCACCAAGGCTGACCCGGCCCCGGCCACTGCTGAGGGCCCAATAAAAGGATTTTAACTGTCATGTTTTCTCATTTTGTTTAAATACCTGTGTGCGTGTGTGTAAAAGCAAATAACTGACTTCTTTCCCCTCTTATTCTCTTACCTTGTAACATGAGATTTTTACACCATAGAATTAAGTTACAGGATATGGAGAAGAGCAAACATCACACAAGGTGTGCGTGCACACGCATACACACTGGTTGTTTCTCTGTGGATCCCTAATATACTTGCCATCAGCACCAGTATCTGCTTCTTACAGCTCTCTGGTGATTATGACATGCTTCCAGGATCAGTGACTCTGACTTAAGGAATTAAATTATTAATTCATTATCAGGAGAATTAGGCTTGGGGGAAAAATCCATCACCTGGACTATTTTCAGGAGCTGGAGGCAGGAAGGAAGGAAGGAAGGAAGGAAGGCAGGAAGGCAGGAAGGCAGGAAGGCAGGAAGGCAGGAAGGCAGGAAGGCAGGAAGGCAGGAAGGAAGGCAGGAAGGAAGGCAGGAAGGAAGGCAGGAAGGAAGGCAGGAAGGAAGGCAGGAAGGAAGGCAGGAAGGAAGGCAGGAAGGAAGGCAGGAAGGAAGGCAGGCAGGAAGGAAGGCAGGCAGGCAGGCAGGAAGGAAGGAAGGAAGGAAGGAAGGAAGGAAGGAAGGAAGGAAGGAAGGAAGGAAGAGAGAAAGAAAGGAAGGAAGAAAGAAAGGAAGGAAAGAAAGGAAGAAAGGAAGAAAGGAAGAAAGAAAAGGAAGAAAGGAAGAAAGAAAATAAATCACACAAACACTAAAAAGTGTTTTGAAAAAGTGCTTTCAGAATTTACTGTACAGGTTTTTTAACAATTTATTTATATGTTGGCTTCTACATGCTCTTACATTTGTTTAAACATTTATACATATTCTTTACAATTTGTACATATATTAAATGGCTGTATCATAAACATTGCTCTATGAGATTTTATAAAAGAAAAATCAGGTAGGGAAAATTACTTATAAAACATTAACAAAACCCGTGATATTAAAGAACAAGAAATTCTCATATTCACGTTCATCTGATTTCTTTCCTCTTCTACTTATTTTTTGGTTTCATTTTATTTGTGCTGGCCCAAACTTTCCATTTTCTATACTATAATCACTAGGTCAGGAAAATGAAAGCAGTGGGGATAATGTCGTAAGGCAACTGTGGAGGACGGACACGCTCATCTGCAGGAGGAAGATTGTGTCTGTGAGTGTTCAGATTTAAAGCTGACAGTCTGCGAAGATTAGGTTTTGCTTTATGCCGTTAACTGGAGTCCTAGTGATCACAAAAATCCCATCTGAAGTTTCGGATGTGGTCAGGAAGAACATCACTCTGAACTTCTTACACACAGAAGCTCCCGGGATTACTGGGCATTATCCAGGTTGTCACCCTTATCAGTCCCTAAACTTCTCCATCTGGGGGGATGGAGAGGTCTACTAAGCTGTGCTTTTCATGTTTTCAGATAACACCCCCGGCCCGCTTGTCTACTATCCAAATCAAGCGGCAAATGACGGCCCTCACAAACATGTCTCACTACCTCTGACTGAACAGCTGAAGACTCCAATTCGGGGTGAAGCTCTGGGGGAGCACTCCTTCCTGAGCACAGGACTCAGCGCAGTGGCGCCATCCCTGGGAGCAGAGTCGGAACATTGTACAAATACCCCCAATGTTTTCAACATACTCCGTCTGGCAAGAACCATGCCTTAACCAGGCTTGGGAAGGAAGCCCTCCTCGTGGAAGGGGACACTCAGCAACGTTCCTGAGGGAAGCGGGGGCAGTGAATGGGATCCTCAGTTTTTGCCAAGCCGCGTGCTCTCATGGCACACGTCACGTGAGCACCCCTCCGCCCCGAGCCACCGTGACGGCGCCAGAATTCCCAGGAGCCCCTCTTTGCTTCCTCCCTCCTGGAAACAGAAGCACTGGAGTCGTAAATATGTCACTGAAAGGCATGTAGATTTTCCTAAATAGATAGGAATCCCACCGGACTGGAAAGAGTTATAAAAATATACAAACATATATATTTTTTATTCTGGTATATTTCATATTTTTAAGAAAGCAATTAGTAATTATCCGACATTGGGTAAGACCCAGGAGATCATGGACGACGTAAAAATTACAATTTTATGTAAAATAACAGTGGGGGAAACCCCTAATTTTCCATTCAAAATTCTGATAACTTTAAGTACTTTCCAAAAATAGAGACAATTTCCATTGTTTTAAATAATGGAGGTGGAAACGAACCAAAGACGACTATCCCTACGTAACTGATCCATTTAGGTTGGTTAATAAAACAGACGCAGTTTTTTGCAACTCTATTTCTTTTTGGTTTCCGTTCTTTCGTTCCTTTTTGTTTTTGATGAAGGGGGAAAAAAAATAAGATTGCATTGCCCAAAGTCAGGAGGAAGCACTTCGGAGTTCTCTTCGTGTTCCGGTGTGTTCTACATAACCGGGAAGCGGCCGAGGGCCTGCCTCAGCTTTTCTGCAATCTGGTGAAGAAACAAGACAATCTTGAGCTACCAGTCCCACTAGGACCCACGGCATCCTACTCCTGCCATCTCTTACGAGTCAGACACTGCAAGCATTTCAGACTTGAACCGCGCTAAGCTTCTAGTCTCCTCCAGCACCAACCAGCCGGGGGGCCCTCCCCAAACCCCAGATGGTGCTGCCAGAGGCGGTGCCCCCAGCTTGCAGGAAGCCCCCTTTCTTTCTGGCACGGCCGGTGCCTGTCTCAGCAGCAGCATTTCCAGAGCAGGAGTCAGGTGGGGTGGGGGTCGTGCTTGCCAAGGCTCCCCTGTGTTCTCGGACACCCGTGCACTCCCGAGCCCCCGCGGCCGAGCACACCGCCCGGATCCCACCCGCTGCGGGTCCGCCGTGTGTAGACCGTCCGCGCCTCCGTGATAAAGCCAGTGCGGGACCGCAGCTGGGGCTATGTGCCCAGGCCTGCCCTGAGGACACAGATGTCACAGCCATTCTTGGAGCCAAGTAACTGGAGTAAGTCCTTAGGATATAATAGGTACTCAATTCATGTTTGCTGCATGAACAAGTATGGGAATTTTAGTATTTAAGGGTTACTTTCTCATAGAACTGTTACTTCTAACGAGGACAGTGATTAAAATGCACGGCTTTCTATTTTGAGTCACAATGTCATTGATAATTAAACCTCACTTAGGCTTGAGATTATCTATCAAATCAACATGATCGGAGTTTCAGAAGTTGCCCTTCAACGCTCTTCTCACGTCGAATAAATGCAATCTCGATTCTAATGCATGAGACGCAACCGCACAGCACCAGCGGTTACTACACAGAGAGCCCAGGCACCGCACGCTGTGAGCGATAAAAATGCTTCAGGGAATTCCTTCTGGAAACTCAGGCCAAAATCAACTGCTTCCAACGCACAATTCACACTATGCAGCAAGCACACTGATCACAACTCCCTTTCAAGAATTTGCTGTTGGAGACTGACATTTTCCACACTGTTTTGCTGAAAGAGGACACGTGCACACATAGGAGTGTGGGGCTGGCCTACCATCATTCTGAACACACACGCGAGAATACCATGGCAACAGTGGAACCCTGAGTAAAAACATGGTGGCCAGCACATGGTCAATGATACAGTTACGGAACCTGCCTTCAGATGTCGAAGTTTCCACTTACACGCTAGATCCCTGTTTTCTGGACACTCTGGTAAACAACCAAATTACTACGCAGACTACAAAAGTTTACGTTTTTGTGACTGTTTCCTAAATGTCACAAACCTAAATATTTAAGGTTTCTCTCTCTCTCTCTCTCTCGTTTTCTTTCTGCAGTTCCTTTGGTGCACAATGAAAGCTCATTCATGAAGCCTGCCCGCGGTGCCAGGCTCCATCCCCAGCTGAGAGCTTGCAGGGCCAGGGGCCTCCTGTCCTTCACTGTCCCGGGCACAGAGAAGCTGTAGGGGTAGGGAACCTCCCAGTAAGGACTTCTAGGGGCCTCACAACCAGCGTCAAGACCCCTTCTTGCATAAGAGAAACCTTTTTTAACCCAGTATGATTCAAAAAGGAAAAGGCAGATATAATTAAAAGGGATTTAAAAAACCCCTGCTCAATAATTAACCTCTTCTGGTTTATTACATAGGATTAAAAAACACAAGCAGATTAACTTTACACGGTCAGAGTTATGTTACCAGGAATCCTCCTGTGTGTGTGTGAGTGGGTGCGCACGCACGCATGTGCTTGCATGCAAAGGGCCTGGGGAGGCTGACTTACTGTTTCGTAGAATTGCACCTGTTGCTCCAGGTACAGGCGGATGACGCTGTTGTAGTCATAGATCCGGTTACTATGGAAGTGATTCATCTCGGCTACAACCAAAACCAAAATATCAATCAGCCCCCAAACTTCCACAGACAGCGCCAGCTTGCTCTGCTCGGTATCATCTGGTTGGCTTCAGGGCAGGGCCAGTTCCTGACAAATCACTTTATAAAGAAGCTAGAAAACTCATCTGAAAATAATCTGAGCGCAAACAATACTCTCCAGCAGAGGGATGACTTTTGTTGACTTGCAGAGGAGATACTGTGAACCCAACACAATCCCCCACATGTGGACTTTGTTCTCCCAGAACAGATGGAGCAGGAGGCCGACGTGGTGGTCACTCTCTGCGGACGTCATCTGTGATGCAGGACCCAGCGAGGCACCCGGTGGGCCCTGGTCTGTTCCCTCTTGGGTTGGGTTTCTTTGGGTGCCCTTGAAAGGCTGTACGGGTGAGTGTGACGCAGGGGGACCCTCTTCTGTATGGAGCTTCGCTGCTGAGCATCAGGGCTCCCAGAACCCAACCTCTTACCAGGTGAGAGGATCTGGACACCTGTTCTTCAACTCTGCTGAATATATCTATTCACAGAGGACTCCCTTACTGAATTTGTCTCTCGGGACTCGCCCCTAACCCCCCTATCACCAACTCAAGAGAGGCCCCATCACATCGCCACCTGCCTCTTCCCTCGTTCTGAGCACCTGGAAAGCCAGCTGCTGGCATATATTCCTATGAAAAGGGCACTGTTCTGAGTTTTCTATTATCTCAAGTTGTATGAAGCTTCTCATTTATCTGTTTGGAAAACTTCAAAGCCAAATCCCCCATGTCAAACCCTTCAGAAAGATCTTCACTCAGGTTTTCCCATTTCTGCCCCTACTTGTCTTAGTTCTGGAAAACTTGGTCCCTTTGTCCCACTCATTCCCTAGTCCTGAGGGCTGTTCCTTGGAAAAGTCTGCAAACATGCTTCCTTCTCTTCCCCGAGCACCACGTCTTCTTCAGGCCCAGAACTCTCAGACCACAGAGGCAGTGGTCTTCTGCGTGGGCCTTCTGACGTCTGCCCCCCAACCTCTCCCACCCTCTCCCTGAGTGGTGTACCCCCCTGACCCCCACCATCAAACCTTTTACTGGCTTCTTAATGCCCACAGCAAGTCTAGGCTCTTCTGGCCGGCTCTCAAGGACCCCCACCATCACCAACACTCATTCCCCAACAGCCTGTAAGTCGATCTTATTCCTGAAAGCCAATGAGAAATCCTGTCCCATATTTTGTGTGGTTTTGTTCAAACTAGAACATCATTCCCCTTTCTCCTTTGCCCATGCCTGTTCCGTCTGTCCACTGAAACAGGAAAAATCCGTTCACTGCTCCTGTGTGGTAGAAAGCACTCAAATATATAAAAACCATTTACTATCTTCTTTCTACTAACACTCAAATTCTGCCCAAAAATATGTCCAAGCTCCCTTTACATTCTACAGTCCCGGGGATAGAGGTTACAAACTGCTGGAAGCTGAACTTTGGGACCTAACACAGCATCATGATCGGAGCTAATATTAAGGGTTATAAAAGGATCTTCACTGCCTCTGAGAAATAATAAAGACGCACGGGTTTAATCAGGCTGTCATTCATGGCTCGATCAGGGAAAGGGGTTCATTTCCATTAACACTGGGATCCTGCAAATGACAGGCTTGGGAGGGGACCTGAAATCAGCTCTTATTTGCTTAGTTTCTCTCCAGCCAGGAAAACAGCACCTCCGCTGGGGAGAGGGACCATCTTCGCTGGCAGCGCACGAACCTTGCTCGGTCTTACCTTGCAATGCGTAAGACATGGTGCCAACTCGCTTCACCATGTTCTGTTTGTCCTGAGGGGTGATTTTACTAGTTGCGACCAGTTTATCACTTTCTTTCACTTTCTCTATTGCTCCCTGTGAAATACACATGCAACAGTGTTAACAAAACAACGCTCAGAGGATTAGTCATTCGTTTGTCATATAACAATGCCCACATCTTCTACAACTGACCAGCTACTGAACAAAAAAATGTTCCCACAAAGAAAGTAGGAAAGCGCCTAAATATAACTTCCTGCAAGTCACTTGGAAGCAAAAGGGTTGCTATTCTTGAAAAACAGAACTAAGCTAAAAATGGACAGTTTTATGCTACAACAGGATGAAAAGCAAACAGCACTCTATTTCCGTAATGTCTGAGCCCGTGCCGGGACGAGAGGAGCGCAGGGGACGGACGCAGGCATCGGGGGTTTAGAAGGTTGATGAGGGACAGCCTCGTGCCTGCGCCCGGCTCTCTGTCTCTGTTCGGGGGCATGCTGGCCGCGGGTGCTGGAGCGCGCTGACCGGCAGCTTTACTTTGGTTTCCGGGAGGAGCGCTGCAGCAATTTCAAATCGATACTCAGGCAGAAGTAGGGATACAGCTGCCAAACGTTGCCCCCTCCAGTATCATCACAGTGCTCATCAGAGCAGTCTGCAAAGAAAAACTTTACACTCGTGCATACATCAGGCTCCATGCCCCAAACTCTGCTGCTGACATAGATCCCTACGACAAGCTAACTCTTCTGAGTTGGCTTTTTTAACTGAGATTTTAATTTTTGTTATATTTTTGTTATTCCCCCTCAGTTCTGTGGAGATGTAATTGACATACAGCACTGCATGAGTTTAAGGTGCACAACATAATCATCTGATGTCTGTATATACTGCAGAACGACGACCACTGTAACTGTTGCTGGCAGCCATCACCTCACGCAGTTACAAGTTGGTTTGTTTTCTTCCTTTGTGATGAGAATTTTTAAGACCTACTCCCCCAGCAATCACTATCTCAGAGAGACCACTGCACTCCCAGGATCACCGCAGCATTACCCACAACAGCCACGATGTGGAAACACCTAAGTGTCCATCGATGTTCTGATCCTGACATTAAATTATCTGAAGTTGCACAAGGTTTCCCTTCCTGACACCTGGATTATTAAGCTGAATGCTAAAACGGCCACATGCCAGGGCTGTGAGGGTCACGGACTCAGCCTCTGTAGAGATTCTCCTAGTAAATCCAGGTGCATCACAGTATCCCAGAATACGACAGTTGATAAAATGCCCCTATTCTGAAATAGTATGTAGAGTTTGAAACAGAGAAAAAGGAACCAGAATTGAAATGTGAGGACACCCCAAAACATTTCAAAATTCAGTTTAAAAGTACCGTTATGGTGGGAATTATATAGTTTCCTTATTAGTACAAAAATATAAAATCGATGTTGACCATTTAAATTTTCATTAGGAAACCCTTCGTCAGGCCCAGGGGGACAGAATATCTTACTTCATCTCGACGGGGAAGGGTCTTTGAGGACTTGCCCAAGCAGCTGACAGGGGTCCCACGAGTAAGGGCAAGCAGGATTCCTAATCTTGTCTTGAATTTCAAACAGCATGATTATGTTGTTTGATACCTGACCCAAGTATAGGCATAAAGGAATATTTTTTTCACATTTTTGTTCCCTCAAAGTAATCTTTTTATAGACTCGAAGAAACTAGAAACTACCCATAGTCTAAACGTGTTATGGGACCTCACTATTTAAACAGCCCAAGCAGCTCCGGCCGGTTTCAGAAAGCTCCCCAACTCAGGGCCGTACTGAGCGACTGGGCCCGCTCAGTGGCCATGCGTCATGGCCCTGGCTCACCCATGTCATCTTGTCTGCACTTCTGGGATCAAGTTACCTTGTGGGCGCCGATAATATCAGGGAAGCAGCCAAGGAAACCTTTATATTCATGATTACATTCCATGAGGAAATGGAGATCTTTCTTTGGCTACAACGAGACACAGGTTGGTTATTACTGGCAGAGAAATCCAGAAAAGGGTCGTACTGGAGGACTGTATGAGCCAAGCCTCAGGTACGAGTTACTGTATATCAAGGGCTAAACATTCAGCCTAGTTTTCCTGAAAGAAAAGAACCCCCAAGACTATTACATTCTCAATCGTAGATTGGAGAGAAAATGATAAAACATTAGATCATTTTTAGGCTGGTTGGTAAAATTAGTTATTTTGAGGTGGCTCAAAATATGATACTGTAGGGGAAAAAACTAGTTAATACTATTTATATACAAGCAAATAAGATGTAATCATTTAATGTGTAAGTTTTAGCAGAGAATATAAATTATTATTAAAAATCTGGTAGTCCTCACCCAATGTAAAAAAAAAAACAAACAAACCTGGTAGTCCTCTTAACTGGCAACTTAATATTTTTCAATTTTTCTGAATTACAATTTTTTTTTTAAAGATTTTATTTATTTATTTGACAGAGAGAGACACAGCGAGAGAGGGAACGCAAGCAGGGGGAGTTGGGAGAGGGAGAAGCAGGCCCCCCGCAGAGCAGGGAGCCCGATGTGGGGCTCGACCCCAGGACCCTGGGATCACGACCTGAGCTGAAGGCAGCCACTTAACGACTGAGCCACCCAGGCACCCCTGAATTATAATTTTTAATAGCTATGTTATGCACAGTTCTAAAAATTAATCTTTTTCTATAAGTAGTGGTAGTCAGTGACCAACATGAAGGTGTGTGCGCATGTGTGCACGTATTTCAAGAAGTCATCTGAGAAACTTTTCTTTAATGTAGGGATTTGAAACAACATTGATGCCTACTCCCCTTAAGGGAATTTATTATCTGTTTTCTGTAAAAAGAACTGGAATCAGACCACTGAAGGCCCCAATAAAAGCCACGTGGCTGGAACAGAGACCTGCCCCTTGCCTGGGCCCGTGTGGGTGCCTTCTCCATAGTGGCTGCTGAATCCTGAGAGCCTGCCATTTACCAGCCGAGTCAAGCAGGCCTCAGGCAGGGCAAGAGTCCAAATGGTGGCGTGAACGGTGCTCTTGCCCTAACATTCCAACCCCCTGATGACGGAGGATGGATCTGAGCCACCGACACTGGAAGGTACTCATTTAGATTTCTCGGTGATAAATGTATCCATCACTTTGGCTTACCCGAAGAAACACTATTACCATACACAGTGAACAAAGACAGAAAAGAAGAGGAGATCTATTTGCAAAGTTTGTTTTAAAATTGGTTAAAGAAACACGTGGGTCCAACAGCGTACAATCTGCACCAGGACTGGGACCGGTGGCCATGGGGGTACCTGTTCTGCTACGAGACCGGCAATTTCTTCGTAAGTCTTTCCTGCTTCCGTTATTGCAGCATTGAGATCGGTTTCGCCTGGAAATCAGTACAGCTACATCAGGGCTTGTGAGTATTTTCTCTTCGTTTATTTTACTTAAAAATTTTATTATGGCAAACACTACGCTTTTCAAAACTAGAGGACAGTGTAATGAGTCCCCATCTACCCATCACCTGGCTTCCCAATGAATAGCTCATGGCCAGTCTTTCTGCACCTGCACCATCCATCCCCTACCTCCCCCTTTTGCTGGCCACATTACAATGCACCCATAAATTCTATGTCAGAGATAAGCACTCTTTAAAAGGCAAGGACAATACCAACATCACACTGGAGAAATGAGAATTGCTCCTGTTGAATTATCTAGTCAGTGGGCAGCTCCCTGGATCTGGAATCGAGCTGGCTGCTTTCAGGACTCAGAGAAAGCCCACATGGCAGAGAGCTGAAGTGTTTCTTCAATCATTAGGTTCTTTCTCCTCCCTCCCTTTTTTCTCGCAAATTTCTTTTTGGGCCGTTGAAGAAACCAGGTATTTGCCTTGGTACCTGCAGCCTGGGTTTTGCTGACTGTGTCTGTGGTGATAACACAGTCCTCTGTTCCCTGTACCATCTAGATCTTTCCTTTTAGGAACGGTTTGCAAAGCGTTGCTCTTCTACTCCTATCACTCCTTTGATCTGAAGCACTTCTATAAAGAGGAACTCTCCTTTATTGACTACTTGGTTACCTTGAGGTATTGGAAGAGAAAAAGCACATTAAATGCTTCTTTCTCTTTACCATTTTCAGAATGAGTTGATCCTCTAACCATTCCCCAAAGGTAACAGATTAACTTTTTAAAAAAGTATCATTGCAAGTCTGGATTTACACATACTTGATAAGCTTCATTGCAGAGAAAGTATTATTTTCACTAATGCTCTTTGTATTTACTGGCCAGTGGAAGGCTTTTCAATTCAGCATCTGGGTTCTGCTAGGAGCTCTGGTTCATCTGGGAGGAACAGTGTTGAGAAATTTCCCTGTGGGGGGCGCCAGAGGTGCTTCTCGTGACTGGATTGGGTATTTCTAGGCCTTTTCAATGAACACAGCAAGGAAAAATATATTTTTTTTAAAAGAGGAAAACCATAATGAGCTCATATGGAGATTTCCAATTCAAATTTAGGACTTCAGGATTTTTCATAATGTATTTTAAAACTTTTGATTTTTGTTTAGCTCTTTCATTTAAAAAACTTAGTTCCTAAAAACAGTAACATAATTACGTATTTGCTTTACCCTACAATATGTAAAATAGTTTTAGAAGTTTTAGAATAACAATACCAATATTTTATTGCTAACTATATAATTACTGAAAACAAAGGATTTTTGAAGTCTTTTTGACTTTAAGGAATCTGCTACTAGGGATGTAGAATCATTGATATAATGTTTTACGGTGATGTGAAGTAATCCTTCTCTACGTGGTTATGCCTTCATCCTGATGTATCAAGTGATTTATTTTGCTTTTTAGGGATTTTTTTTTCTTTTACATTTTAAATTTGTTTTCTAATAATAAATGTAGAATAAATATAAATGTAAAACATCCCCATGGTTCCAAAGTAAAATCTGTAAAACTAGATAAAACCGGAGGTCTAGCTTCTACACCCGTTCCTCTTCTCCGCTCCAGATAACCATCTAAATATTTTTATCCATTATTTTTCCATGATAATCCATAAGAAGTGCTTCATGGATCTGCACAAAGGCCATGCGAATAGTCTCTGTGTTGTTCCAGTATCAGTTTCTGTACTCAGAGAGGGAGCATGGAAGGTTTTATTTAACATGATCCGAAATATTCTTAGGAACCGGAATCCTCTGAATTACTGCAAGATCAAAGAGTGCAGCACTGCCCCACGTCACCAGCACGTCTGAGCAAAGGAAGACGTGATAAGACACAGCACTCAACTCTGCTGACCCTCATTTGCCTTGAAACGTGAAAAGCTAGTCTGTGGGCACTTGAGAAGTTCTTTGAAAACAAGATCTCTAGGAAGTTGAATGATATTCCCCGTAAAGCACATTACACTGAGTACTTTTAATACTTGACAAAGTGCCGTCTGCAATGTGAATACTTGATAACACACGGACTGATAGCTCTGAGCAGGGAAAACAGTAAGGAAGCCACGCCAAGTGAGGCATGGCTGGGAGGGATCACATGGGTGGGCGCTGTGGAGAAGGCACAGCATCTTCAGGGTCCTCTCCTACTCCACCTCCCCTCCAGGATGTCCTCATCCTGCCGGGGCCTCCCCCACAACCCCCCCCACAGCCCTCTCTCTATCCTGCCTTTTTGCCAGGTTGCTCCGGGCTGAAGTTATACAGATAGAAAACTCCGGAGAGAAGCTGATCATTTGGAAGGTACGCAGATTCTACTGAAATTTACAGAACGAGAAATATATGGAAAGACTTATGTACAGTATAAAGCTACAAAGGACGTCTTTAGGACCCATTTCCCAGATTACCAACTGTTTTCTCCTCCCCCCTTTTCAAGACTTTTGGTTCAATTATCTGTGCCCTCTATTAATATCACATTTAGTGAAGGGTGAGTGGTTTGTCTCTCCTGGCATTGACCCGGAGAACAAGGGAATTGCTGTTTACAAATTCTGTGTTCTAGCTCTGAATGGTTTTTAAGTTTTCTGACTTCAAGAAATGGAAGTCAAGTCTGGGTCCATGCTACTGGAAGGATCATTGTTAGGCTTACAATCTCACCTTGGAGCGGTTCCATTTCCAGTTAGCATGGGGACAACTGCCAAGACCCTTGCTCTCAATGTAATAATACCAAATAAACTAAACCATCATATTTCTCTGTAAAGTCACGGAAGCACTGTGGGAATGAAGAAACCCAAAGGAACTCAATTCAGAAAGGGCTGAGCCTTGCACCCTAGGCAAGCTGTCGGGTCTGGAGGCCGGGGGAGAGCGGAGGAAAAGGGCGCCTTCCACAGCAGAGGGACTTGGCTGGGACGGGAGGCTCTGCTCTGCTTTTACCAGATGCATGGGGGCTGGTATGAGGGACCAGAACCTGGGGGAGCCCCAAATGCAGAGCCAGTTCTCCCACAGGGGTTTTGTGCACTAAGGGGTGATGGCGGGAAGCGGGGGCAGGGCTGGAGGACAGAGAGCTCTTGGGGGGAGGCTTAAGGAAGGCGAGATTCAGGTGAGTTCTGACATGGGACACTGATCGGGGTCCAGCATCTTCAGAACACAAGCTCTCCACCCGTCAAGATACTAGAGAAGCACAAAGATGAGAGTGCTCTTGGAGTCCTGCCGGCACCTAAGCAATGGGGGTGGCCCTACACTTGGCTCCTCCGTCAACCCCCTGTGGCACCCTGGCCAGGAGGCTGATCGTTCCAGGTCTACGTTCCTCATCTCGAACATGAGGGGGCCAGATGAACTAATCCTCAGGGCTCCCATCCAATCTAAAAGTTGGGATTATAAGACACAATTCAGCCAGGACAAAAAGAAATATTCTTATGTGGGAGCCCCAAATCTTCCATTCTGGTGGGAGACTCATTTCTTGTTCCTAAAAATGCTCAGACACTGACCTCCACAGACTGTCTTCCCTATCAGAATAAACACCATGGCCAAAGTACCAATTCTGCCATTTCTGTAAGTGATTGGACACATGTAAATTTAGTAAGTGCCACTCACCTGACAAATACTTTTACTTGCTACCTGCTCCACTGAGCAAACTAAGCAAAAGTAAACCAAAATAGAAAGGAGAACAGCTAGCTTGTTCTCACAAGTGCTGTCAATGTAAAAGTACAATGAATCCGAGACACCACAGGTAAGATGCACAGTATGGTACGTAAGACGCCCCATACACAGCTGAGAATAATTCTAGGTCACGCAGAGACCTAAGGCAACGAGAATTTGTTACTTAGTCAAAATGTTCCCTCCAAACGGCCTTGACAAATTCCGGCCTTTGTAACAGGAGGACCTGACTTCTGAGGTTGGAAGAGACATGAAAGCAAGGGCAGAGGGTGACTTATCATAGCTGCCTGTTCCAGGGCAACACAAGAGCGGTCTCTGAGCGCAAAGAAAGGCTAAGAAGCTAGCAAGAAACACAGAGCACAACCACGCTCCACTTTTCTCAAAAGTAGTTAAGGTGAGGGTACAGAAGTACTGAGTGGGGCAGCCTAGCCGGCTGAAGTGTCGGTGACAAAGGTCCCTAGCTGCAGAGTTTCTGTGTGCTTCCAAGAGCCTGGGGGGTGGCTGGTCCGCACAAGACACTAAGGGCCCGAAGGATAAATAAATACAGCCGTACCTTGATAACCACTGGAACTAAACACTGTCGCTAAACTCTGCAAGGCCTTTCCTATCTTCTGATATTCCTTGGGTAACGCTGAAAGAGAAAGAAGAAGACATTGTTAACTAGTCCTCTGAGCAAACAGGAATGGGATTGGACTATTTCCTGAAAGTGATTACTTTTGTCATAAAAGAAATTGGAAGTGACTCAAAAGAGTCTATATTCTTTAATAAAATCACTGGCTTTTTTAAATTCATGATTTTTTTCAAAGAAATTTATTAACTGATTGTTCAGTTCGTGGCCGGATGCTCTCATTCCGAACTACCACCCTGGCCCCACATCCTCACTCACAGCGTTAAGTTGAAGCGCCTGGGAGCTCATCTGGAAGAGGGTTTCTAGTTGACCAAGCACTTGCACCGAGTCCTAGGTGATCACCAGGACAACCCCTCTACCGCGTGCAGACACACCATCTCCATTCCGTGGGTTAGGAAAATAAGGCTCAGCTAAGTAAACTGACTTGCCCAGGGTCGCATGGCTAATAAATGGTGGATGTGGCACTTGTGATTCCAAACGCCTTGCTTTCCCCACTGTTAGGTACGCATCAATGATTATTTGCAAAACTGAAGGCAACAAGGTGTGGAGAAAAATATGGCAGAAGGACTCAACAGGACCAGGGAGGAGGGATCTGAGCTTTCTCAACTGTATAACATGATTAACGAAATGATCTCTGCGGGCCCTTCTAGCTTTCAAAGAACATACAGATTTCAATGCTTTACTATTATTATGGTCTCATAAGAGCTTAATTATTAAGCTCTTAATTATCAATTAAAATTAATTATTTTACAATGAAATCACTAACAGAAGCGTCACTCCCCTTTTTATTCATGAGTTGACTCCCTGTGACCAAAGGAGGGCGGTGCGTTTTGTTTTCTAATGCTGCATTTGTGTACTTTCCCATTTCAGGCCTAATTAGTGCTATATTTAGGATATGGCATCGTATTTCCGTGCCATGAGAATGGAGCAACTGTTCTCGAGCACGAACGGATGGCCCGCCGCCGCGAGTGGTTTTGTTGATGTCGAGTATTATGTGAATGGTAGAGGATCATTCAGTGAGAAGCAGGACCTTTTTTTTCCGCAAAGGGCCAGACAGTAAATATTTCAGGCTTTGTGGGACCACAGGTTTCTTTAAAATTGAAAGTACTTGACTCTGCCACTGTAACAGCAAAGCAGCCACAGGTAATCCGTACAGAAGTGGGCCTGGCTGTGTTCCACTTTATAAAAACAGACAGCAGGCCAGATCTGGCCTCCAGGCCACAGTCTGCCAACTCCTGATAAGGCTTAGTTTCAGGTCTGGATTTAATGGATCTTAATATTGCTATTAACTGTGCTCTATCTTTTTTTCTTTTTTTTTAAGATTTTATTTATTTATTTGACAGAGAGAGATACAGTGAGAGGGAACACAAGTAGGGGGAGTGGGAGAGGGAGAAGCAAGCTTCCCACCGAGCAGGGAGCCCGATGCGGGGCTCGATCCCAGGACCTTGGGATCATGACCTGAGCCGAAGGCAGACGCCCAACTGACTGAGCCACCCAGGCGCCCCCACATTGTTTCTTACTCATTAAAATTATTTTTTGACTTCAAATTTTATTTTTTCCCTTCTTTAGAAGAAAAATATCATTTGTTAATAAATCTTTACAAAACAGATAATTAAATTCCTTCCTATGCTGAGTATCACAGTTTAAAAGTGGGTATGTATTAGCTTTATTATTCAAAGTAGAAGCCACTTTTAAGAGAAAAACAAAATAAAACTGAATACAACCAGTATTCTTGTAGGGTGTACGAGTTGAAGGCCGGAAAATTCTTAGATACCAGCCTTATGGCTAGCCTACTAGCCTTCATATGAGGTTAGGTTACTGAGTCAGGGACTCACAGCACCACTTTCTGGGTAACTAGAGCTCAGTTTTCTCTCTGGGACTCAGGCGGCTGAGCTGGTGATAAGGACGGGACGGGTGGACAGGGGAGAAAACTCCTGAGCGTCTCTGGCCCTCGAAGACCATGTGAACAGAACCGCAGTGGTGACCTGTCCTCCGAGGCCCACCTCTGAGGTGGGAGGGCAGTTGGCTGGTGTGACCCCCATGGCTGGCAGTGACAGTTTCCTTGCCTGGACTACGTGACGTGAGGGGCCAGGGAATACAGGACAACATAGGTCAGCAGAATGACAGTCTAGACACAAAGGGAAGGGGGGATTGGGGTGGGGGTGGGGATAAGAAGTCCTCGAGGACATGGAAAGAGCAGGTAGAAGCCATGGCTGGCAGGGCCCCCCAGGCTCACGTTGCCCCTAGTCTGACCCAGCTCATGCTTTCCACAGCCAACTATCCTGGCCTTTCCTAAAAGTTAGGGCTGTAATGGGCACCTGGGTGGCTCAGTCGGTTAAGTGTCTGCCTTTGGCTCAGGTCATGATCCCAAGGTACCAGGATCGAGCCCCGCATTGGGCTCCCTGCTCAGCTGCATCTCCCTCTGCCTGCCTCTCTCCCTGCTTGTGATCTCTGTCCAATAAATAAATAAAATCTTAAAAAAAAAAAATTAGGGCTGTAGCAAATACAGATGGTCCCTGACTTAACAATCTGACTTCATGATGGTGCCAGAGCAATATGCATTCACTAGGAACCGTACTTGGAATTTTGAATTTGGTTCCTGTCCCGAGCTTATGATCTGTGGGAGGACCCTGTCCGTGATGCTGGGCAGCGGCAGCCTCACCCGCCGGCGACCACGGGGGTCAGCGACCAGCACACTGACAACCACTCTGCACCCGGACAGCCATTCTGTTGATCTTCCCTTTCAGTACGGCACAAGATGTTCAACACTTTACTATAAAACAGGCCCTGTGTGAGATGATTTTGCCCAAGGGCAGGCTGGCCAGGCTAAGCTGTGGTGTTTGGGAGGTTAGGTGTATTGAACGCATTTTCGACTTAGGCTATTTTCCACTTAGGATGGGCTTATCGGGATGCAACCCCATCGTAAGTTGAGGAAGATTCTGTATACAACATCTTACTTACCAAATGGATAAAGCCTAAAAAGTACAATCATGAGATTAAAAATAACAAGTACTCTCTACACATGCAGAAAAGATTAATGGTCCGTAGATTACAAACCCCAAATAACTAGAAACACTTAAGGGAACACGGTGTTTTATGCAAGTTCTTGAACTGGCTTTGCTGGAGTCGATTCTCTGCTGTCTGAGTAGGGCTGACAAGTGAGGTTGCCACCGGGCTGTGGGTATGACATTCCTTCAGTTCACTAAGGCACCTGCGTCTGAGCGCACGGCTCCTCAGTGCGGTGAAGGCCACAGACCGAGCGTGCACCGCCACGACCAGGGCCCAGAGCTGGCGTGAGAACGGCACTTACGTCCCGTGCACCGTTTCCAGTGCTCCTGTCCTACTGTCAGCAGCTCCTTCACGCCGTCGTCCATGGCTCTGGTGAATTTACCGACGGCGTCGCACTTCTGTTCTCTGTGGGGCAAAACACAAGAAGGCATGTCCTTGACTCTTCTACCAAATGGTCAGTGTGACGAGGAGGAGGAGAAAAATCAACACGGTCGGGGAAGACTCCCGCCGAACGTAACCGCGGGTACTTGTTTTCTTGCATTGTAACAACTGCTCTTTAACCAGGCTTGATTCGGATTTTTAGAGAAGGGGCGCCTGGGTGGCTCAGTCGGTAAAGCAGCTGCCTTCAGCTCAGGTCATGATTCTGGGGTCCTGGGATCAAGCCCCCCTTCGGGCTCCCTGCTCAGCGGGGAGCCTGCTTCTCCCTCTCCCTCTCCCTGCCGCTCATGTTCACTCTCTCTCTCACATAAATAAAATCTTTAAAAAAAACAACAGATTTTTAAAGAATGACTTAAAAATCTGCCATTTAAATTTTAACTCCTTCCCTTCCCCTCTCAATTCCCTGTGACTTTTAACTAAAATTATTCTAAAGTATATAAAATCATGATTTCTTGAACATATGATTGAGTGGAATTCTATCAGTGGAGGTACTGAGTGGGTCTTCATGCATTCCAGCAAGTACTTTAGCGAACCGAAGGTAACCTGGACACAACCAGGTAAGTGATACTGAACATCTCAGTTCTTAGAGGATGTAAAAAGTACCAACCTGAAAAACTCATCCCAGTATCATGTTAAATAAACAAAAACAAAAACAAAAACAGATTAGAAGACAGAATGCACAGTGTGAGGTCTTTCCTTTTTAAACAATTTTTCCCTGAGATACATATGTGCAGAGGACGTTTCAGAAGACTACAGACCTAGGCCAACGCATTAACATTGATTTTTCTCTCTGGGTAGTTGCAAGATTGTGTTTTTCTTTTTTCTTCTCTTCTTACGTTTGGTAACACGTAAGTGATAATTTTATAAAAAAAAACTTCTTAAAAAAAAACAAACAAAACCCCCAAGATTTCTTGATAGCCTTTACATAGAAAAGGAACTACTTGATTTTCAACCAACCTACATTTCAAAAAATTACATAATTAAAAACAACAAATTGAAAAACAGCACAAAAAAGCAGGTTAGAGATTTGCTTCCTTCAAGGCGATGTTCAGAGACTTCTGCCTTGTTGACTGTTACGTGGGTGTGCGCTGGCCCTGGGCTACTTTGTCTTACCGTGCTGTATTAGATACGACTAGAAATTTCCATGTCAGCTAAGAAACCACGGACTTCAAGGTAAAAAGGAAGCAGACTTTGATGCTATGGCTAGAAAGACCATGCTTTCCCGTGCAAGCGAAGTCTTCCTGGTCACCTGACCGTGGCCCCCACGCGATCACGGTCGCACCCTGCACTGTGGCTGCGGCCTGCACGCACGGGAGGGGGACACGGGCTGGGAAGAAGGCAGGTGTGACAAGAGCTCTCACATTTCTAGTAAGTCCAAGTCAGGCGCCTCTGGTTCCATGGTGGAAAATATCATAACTCCCACCAGCTCATCTTTCTCAGCCTTCCTCTTTCCACTTTTCCATTCCTGCAAATAAGAACATTATAATGTCACAGTGGAGAGCGGAGTCAAACTGGTCTTTCAAACTCCCTAGTGCAATCGGCTCACTGACTGACTAGCTCTGATTTTTGGCAGCAGCTCCCACGCCATCACCCTCTGCACCGTGGGGTGTCTGCACGTCCCAGTGTAATGTCAGTACACGGACAGTGCCGACGTGCAGAGTGGTCCCTGGGAGCCCGAGTCCCTTTGGGGGGAGGTAATTCCATCCCGTTGCTCTCCCAGCGCACGGCGACGTTAACACAGCGAGCTCAGCACCCCTGGGAGTCCCGACCAAGTGCCTCAAAGTTTAGGTTAAATGGTTTTCTTAAAAAGACGAAAGCTTTCCTAAAACACAAGACAGGAGCCAGTGATATGCGCTACTGAAAAAAAAACAAAACGTATTTTTGCAAGATCTACCTATATAGATCCATCCATCCACAGAAAAGTGCCCCAACAACAGTGCACAGCAACCAGTTCTCACAACTTGATATATGGGGAACTACCCCAAGGCCGAGGGAAAAAAGCAAGCACTCCAGAAGCCCCCTCCTGCCCCTTCCCAATCACCTCCCCTTCCCTCCCGCACCGAGGTGACCAGGATCCGCTCTTTAATGTTGCCCAGTTCCTCACATTCCTTTCAAGTCTCATCGTCTAAGCACATGTCCCTCATCTGGGTCTGCTAGTTTTTCTGAACAAAGGCCACTCTCCGCGTACTCTCTTGTGTCTGGCTTCTTGGGCTCAGGCTGTGCTCAGGAGCTATGGCCACAGTGCCGTCAGGCTGCCGTCCGTGGATTCCACCGTGGCACAACGTTCCACTGTGTGCATTCCCCCCCGTTTATTCATTCATCCTGCTACTGGGATCCCTCCAGGCCCCGCCAGGTGACGAGTACAGCTGCTATGTACGCGACTCCTGGTGCACGCGTGCACCCTTTTGCCAGGTGTGTGCTTGGGTGGAAAACGTTCAGCTGTAGCAGGTAATGCCAGGTGGTTTTCCAAACTGGTCTTACCCATTTCACACCCACCAGCAGTGCCTGAAAGCTCCTCAGCCCACCAAGAGCTTGGTTTGGTCAGTCTTTCTAATGTCAGCCATTCCGGCAGGTGCACAGTGGCATTCACTGTAGTTTTAATTTGCATTTGCTTGATGACTAATGAGGTAATGAGGTTAAGTAGTTTGCTACATATCTGTTGATGACTGAGACACTTTGTTTCGTGAGGTACCTTACACCAAATCTCCTTTTCTACTGGGTTATCTTTCTTATGGATTTGTATGGGTTTTCATATATTCCAAAATGCAGCCCTTTGTTGGTTATTGTATGTTCAGATCTTTAGCTTGCTTTTCACTTTTAAAGGCTTTCTTTGATACACAGCAGTTCTTAGTTTTAATGTAGTCTAATTTATCACCCTCTTCCTGTGTGACTAGTCATTTTCGTGTCATATTTCAGAAATCCTTCCCTACCTTAGGGGTATGAAGATATTCCCCTATGTAACCTTCTTGAAGCTTTATTATGCTGCCTTTCACATTAGACCTTCAAACCACCTGGAACTGATTTTTAAAAAAAAAAAAACTTTATACAACAGAAACGTTCAACCACGTATAAAAGTACAGAGAAAAGTCTAACCCCCACCCAGACTCAGCTGCAACATGTATCAACATTTTGCCAGTCTTGGTTTTTCTATTCTCTTCCATTCTACCTTTTATTTTCTTCTTGCTGATTTTATTGGAAGTCCCAGACATAGTATCATTTCACCTATAAATACCTTTAATAGACAGGGCCACGATTCCGGTGTCATCCCTAACAAAATCAACAGTAGACTGTCGTGAGGTGGTGACCAAATCTCATTTTTCCTCAATGACCCCATCCAGTTGATCCGGCACCATTGACTGGAAAGACTGTCCTATCTCCACTGTTCTTGGCACCATCTTTGCCATGAATCAAGCATCCAACTCTATTCTGTTCCATGGTCTATCCTTATGCCAATACCATGCTTTTAAAATTATTTTAGCTTTGTAATGAGTCTTAATATCCAATAAAGCCCCCCTCCCACGTCATTCTTTTTCAAGAGTACTTTGGCTATTCTTAGTGCTTTGATTTTCCACATGTATAGCATCTCTTCTGCTTGTGAATCCATGAAACAGCATTGGAACACTTAGCCAGGTTTTATTTCTCTCAAACATGTTTCATAGTTTTTTATGTAGAGTTTTTCTGTACATTTTCTTATACTATTCCTAGATATATTTTTATGCTATTCTGATAGTTTTTTTTAGACTTTCATTTTGTTTTCATTTATTGCTGGTATGTAAATATGTAATGTCTTATATCCAGCTATCGTACTAACCACTTATTTCTAGTAACAGAAAACTTACTATGTCCATCCATCTACACAAGCTACTTCTGGCCAAAGAATCCCAGTTTTTAGTGATTATCTAGTTTTACACAGTCATTTAGCAGGTGAGGAAACTATGACCCAGAGATTCAATGCCGTGGCCAAGATCACAGTAGGAGCTAGAAGCAGAGCCCTGACTCCAAGTTCTTTCTTTTTCCTATTGTATCAAATCCACCCAAACCCCAGTGTCTAGATGTATTAGTATTTTTAATAATAATATTCTGTGTAAGACACAATCTTTAGAAGTGCTTTCTAAATCAAATCTTTGGAAAATCAGGACTTTTGTTAAAGGCAACAAACTTGGGAGGGGATTCCATGTAGTTTACAAAGTAACTCACTCAAAGTACCTAGTTTCACCACTATATGGTTACAGGGCATACTATGGCTGAACATTACATCTCACCAGAGAAATCAGTTTTCCAGGGCACCTTGCAAGGCCAGAGCTACGATCTAGACAAAAAATGCTGAAGCACCTCCCTGTTTCCTAGCTCCTGGCCTGGTTACATGCAACCCACTCAAATGAGCCTGCCAATTCTAGAAATAAGCAGCAACTGAGAATAAGGCCCAAATATTTTATACTACATTACGTGTACACCTATGTCTGTAAGCATACACAGAGCCAGATTATTTATACTTATTATAAATGTGTTCACATTAACAAGGGAAAAGTACTACAAAGCAGTTTAGCAAGTAAATCTGTCTGAAAGTTCCAACAAAGTATTTAATATGCTAGTATTTGATTAGACATGAAAATAATCTCATGACTTTTTTTCTAGGATTCTAACTTATTTTGTATCTGCTGTTGGCATCTGAGCTAACTTACGCTTTTATTCTTTGCACTGTTTTCTAAGATATGTAATATTTGTTATGAGAGAAGTATGGAGAAACCATCTTTACAGGATAAAAAGATACACTATAGAGTAAAAGCTTACTGAGAGAGAGAGAAAACTATTTCCAAAGCAGACAATAATGAGATGTCAAACAGCCAATGTTTTCTTGATTCTCAACAAAGAACACGTGGCCATTGGCAGAATGACTATCCACGGGGACAAAGACAGACCAGCATTTACTCTGGACATGCAACTATAGTTCTGGAAAAAATGACTCAGTTTTGAGAAGGATGGTCCACTTCTGAATCTACTTTTCTTTTCATGATGTTACCACACCGCAAGGTCAAAAGAGGATTTTTTGTTGTTGTTGTTACGTTAATCACCACCTGGGTGGCTCAGTTATTAAGCATCTGCCTTCGGCTCAGGTCATGGTCCCAGGGTCCTGGGATCGAGCCCCGCATCAGGCTCCCTGCTCAGCGGGAAGCCTGCTTCTCTCTCTCCCACTCCCCCTGCTTGTGTTCCTTCTCTCGCTTTGTCTCTCTCTGCCAAATAAATAAAATCTTTAAGAAAAAAAAAAAAAAAGGATCTCAAGAAATCATTCACTCTATTTCCCTCACTTCATATGGATAATATCCTGGATCCAGTTTGGGTATTTTTAAAAGCATCTAGGGAAAAAAATTCCTCACACTATCACATCATTCACTTCCTACCAACTCTGGGCCAATCCATTCCCAATTTATGGAAAACCATTCTGGCAAGCATTCTTCCACATAGCGTGACTTATTTCCTACGGTGAAGACCTAGGTTTCTGTCCCCTCTTTGTCTTTGGAGGAAATGAGAAATAGCTAACTGACATAATTTTAACTTTCAGACATAAAATTGATGTGAATGTGACAATTCTCAATATGACCTAAGACTATCATAATAACAGGTCCTACCTTTTCATCTCGGAAATTTAGAAATTGCTGGAAAAGCTCACTTTCTGAGATTACTGGGTGACGACACATCCTGGTCATCCACGCCTGGAGCCTCTCCATGCGCATTTTGATAAACTCTTCTTCGAAGCGACCTGCAAGGGGCACAGCAAGAGTGATGCAGACTGCAGTGTAAAGCGAGTTACCGTCATCACAAAGGAAAAGCCGTTTGTATCTACGGGTACTTGGTAGAACATTATTTAGTAAAAGGTAAAGACCATGGTAATTTCTCACTAACCTAAAAACCAGCTGTAACACAGCAAATGCTCAGAGAGACACAGGAAAGATACAACAGACACTTTATAAGAATGAGATTCTGATTTAACAAATTAACAAGCTTTTTAATTGTGACAAGAAAAAGCACAGCCACAAAGTGCGATTTTCTTCAAGGATCCCTAAGTATTCAACGAATTCAAAAGCAAATCTTATCTTGGTATGAAAAATTTTGATAAACTAAGACTATGCCCATTCTGTGTGACCATATGAAGCCTTATGGGGCAAGAAAGGGGGCAAGAAAATGGAATTTAATAAATAATTCTTACAAAGGGCATAAAATTTCTATATTTATAAAAATGTGTCCTAATGCAATATAATCTCAGATACACAAACTTAAACTTAGTATTTATGAAAAGTAACTCAGAATGACTGAGTTCTTTATTCCGTTTGGTTTTTTAAATTACTTAAGCCAAAAATAGAAAAAGCCATTTTCCATTAATGCGGTAGTAAAAGCTACCATCTCAGAGCTTATGACCATTCTAAAAGATAGCTTAATGAGTGATATTTCTGTTTTAAGAGCAGAAAATCAGCTTAACAAGCCTGACATACCAGTCATCAAGTGAACACTGGACATTTTTATAAGCCTCCCAAACAAAACCACTATTAGTTAAAAGGCTTCTGGAGATGAAAGTTCCAGGTACAGTCGAGTGAGGCAATCAGCTATTCCCATCCCCCCAAAACAATTATAAAGCTGGACAGAAGCCACCAAAAATAAGTGTTTTGGAAATCAACCAAAGGCAAAGAGCCATCTGAGAAGTGTTTATATTTGCAAAACGGCTGAACTTTATGCAAGAAGCGTGGAAATCTGCAGCATGGAAATGTCTGGCATGGGGCTGCTCCTGTCTCCCCCACTGCCCCTCGGCCTCCCCACCCTCTCCTTGGTGGACATGGAAGGTCTGCCCATATAGGACAGGCTGTGAAGACCGGCCACTGCAGGTCCCCTAGTGAGGTAAGAGGCTGGCCTGACCTGGAGCAGGGGGACATGCCCGTGCTCGGTGGTGGCGGCAGGGACAATCCAGAGGCTGGGGAACAGAAAGGGCCAACGGCTCCACTAGCCAAGATTGCCTGGTTGGGCCAAGCATATTCCAGGCTGAGGCTGTGTGCAGAAACAGTGGAGTCCAGATGGGATCCAAGCCAGCCACATACCCCTGGCCAACTCTGTGGCTGCACACACTTGTAAAGGAGACACAAAAAGGCTTACAAAAAAGTAAAAGCCAGGACAGCCAACTTGAAAATTATCTGAGCTTTGAATGCAGCCTCCTACCCACACAGACATCCATCAGCAGAGGACAGAAGCCTTAGTGGCTTGAGGCAGGCTTACCACAAATCTACACAGACACAACGGTGAACCCCAGGAAGCCAAACTTAAAAAAAACACAAAAATAACTGAACTTCAGGGGAGAGAGATTTCAGAGCCTAAGCAAGTTACTTACCAAACAAATACAGGAGAAACAACAACCTTCAGAGAGGAAAAATTAGAATCGAGAATTGCTAAAATATATTCTTAAACTGTTCAGTTTTCAACAAAAAATTAATTAAGAGAGTGCAAAGATATAACAAGGTATGACCCATATCAACAAAAAAGGAGTCAATAGGAACTGTCCCTTAATGTTTCTGGATGCTGAATTTTGCACACAAAGCAGCTTCTAGAAATACATTCAAAGAACTAAAGGAAGTCATGTTTAAAAATGTAAAGAGAAACATGACATGGAATCAAAACAAAGATTCTCAAGAAAAAGAACTTATAAAAAATTAAAATGAAAAGTTTGGAGTTGAAAATACAATAACTGAAATTAAGAATTCACTATAGGGGCTCAAATGCAGATTCAAGATGGCAGAAGAAAGAATCTGGGAATCTGCAGATTAATAGAAGTTATCTAATCTGAAGCATAGAGAGAAAAAAAAATGGAAGCACAATGAACAGGGCCTCAGAAAACATACAGCACACCAAGATACCGGTAATGGGAATCCCCAAAGGAGAAGAGAGAAGAAAATTTATCTGCAGTAGTAACAGGGGAAAGTTTCCCAAATTTGATGGAAAACTTTAAACAAACCTGGCTAGGATAAATATGAAGATAACCACACCACGATACAGCAGAATCAAACTGCTGAAAGACAGAAACAAAATCTTGGCAGCAGCAAGTGAAAAATGCCTCACGATTTTTGGGTGGGTGGGTGGGTGTGTGGGTGTGTGTGAATCTGACACAATGGAGATCAGAAGCAATGGAAAGACAAATTCATCATGCTGAAAGGAAAACTGTCAGCCATGAATTCTACAACCAGTACCCCTATCCTTCAGAAATAAAGGCAAAACAAAGACATTCCCAGATAAACAAAGATGAGAGAATTAACCAATAGCAGACCTGTATTAAAGAAATATTAGAGGAAGTCCTTCAGGCTAAAAAAATACTGCCTCCGGCTAAAAGGAAATTACCCAAATTTACAGAGAGAAATGAACAGCAGCAGAAATACATGGATTAACATAAAAGATGCATTTTTTCCTAATTTCTTCTCTTAATTTCCTTTAAAGACAAGATTGTAGAAAGCAATAATTATCATACTGTATTGTTCAATTTATAACAGATATAGATATAAAATATATGATGACAGGAGCATAAAAAGAGAGAGGGAAACAGAGCTATACTGGAGAAAAGTTTCTATGAATTTTACCGTAATTGAGTATTAATATGAAGTGCACTGTAACATTATAGAAAGATGCATATTGTATCCACTGAGGCAACAACTAAGAAAATAATTTTTAAAATTTAGTGGAAAAATGAGAGGAATTAAAACAGCACATCAGAAAATATTTAACACAAAAGAAAGGCAGTAAAGGAGGAATGGAACAAACAAGACACATAGAAAATATCAAAATGGCAAATGTAAACCTAACTGGGTCAATAATTAGTAAATATGAATGGTCCAAAAACTCTAATCAAAATGTAGAGGTTTCCCGACCTGATAAAAAAGCAAGCTCCAACAATGTTGTCAACAAGAGATACAGATTCAAAGACACTAACAGCCTGAAAGTAAAAGATGGGAAAAGATAAGCCTTGCACACAGTAACCATAAGAGAACTGGAGTAACTATATTAATATCAGACAAAATAGATTTTAACACAGGAAATTTCACTAGAGACAAGAGGACACATTTCATAATTACAAAAGAGTCACTACATCAGGAAGATATAACAATTACAAACTGTATGTATACCAATCAAAGTCCCAACATGATTATTTATAGATATCCACAAACTAACTCAAATGAATATGGAAAGGCAAATGAAAAATAGTCCAGAACTATTTTGAAAAAGAACCAAGTTGGAGGATTTATACTACCCGATTTAAAGATTTACTAATTAAGACAGTGTGGTATTAGCATAAGGATGGACACATAAATCAACAGAATACAGTCCAGAAATAAAACCACACAAATATGTTCAATTGATTTTTGACAAAATGCAAAGGAAATTCAACAGAGAAAGAATACTCTTTTCAACAGATAGTGTGAGAACTACTAGATACCCAGATGCGTAACATAAACCTCTGCCTTATCATACCTCACATCTTACACAAACACTAACTCAAAATGCACCTAAAACTACAAAACTTTCTGGAGAAAATATTACCGGGAACTTGGGCTAGGGCAAAGAGGTTTTTGTCATCATATCTGAAGCATAATCCATAAAAGAAACAATTGGTACTTTGAACTTCATTAAAATTAAAAGCTTTTGTTATGCAAAGGACACTGTTGAGAGAAAGACAAGCCATGCCTGGGACAAATTATTTGCAAATCACATTATTTGACAGAAGACTTGTTTCCAGAATATAAAGATACCAAAATTCTATAATGAGAAAACAACCTAATGAGAAATGGGCAAAAGATTTAAACAGACACTTCACCAAAGAAAATATATGGAAGGGAAATGAGCATATGAAAAGATGTTCAATACCACTAGTTACAAGGGAAAGGCAAATTAAATCCATGATGAGGTACTACTACATCTCTAATAGATTTGTTAGAACAGAGAAAAACTGACAGTATTGAAAAGTGCAAGTAAGGATGTGGAGCCCCCAAAACTCTCATCCACTGCTGGTGGGGATTCCAAGATGGAATAGCCACTCTGGAAAACAGGCAATTTCTTAAACGTGACACTTATACTTGCCAAATGACCCTGTCATTCTACCTTTAGGTATTCGCCCAAGAGAAATGATAACTTCCATTCATACAAAAACTTGTATGTAAATGTTTCTAGCAGCTTTATTTATAAATGCCCCGAACTGGAAACCCAAATGTCTGCCAACGAGTGAACCGATAAACAAACTGATACACACAAGATGCGTGAATCTCAAATGCACAATGCCAAGTGAACAAAGCCACAATCAGAAGACACACTCTGTACGCTTCCATTTTTTTTCTGCAACCAGCTTCTGGTTTCATCGATCTGTTCTGTTGCTTTTTTTAGTTTCTATTTCATTTATCTCTGCTCTGTATTATTTCCTTTTTTCTACTGGTTTTGGGCTTTGTTTGTTCTTCTTTTTCTAGCTCTTCAGGTGTAAGGTTAGGTTGTTTGAGATTTTTCTTGCTTCTTGAGGTCGGTCTATATGCTTCCATTTATAATGATATTCTGGAAAAGGCAAAACTGTAGAGACAAAGAACCCATCAGGGCTGTCATGGGTTAGAACTAGGGGAGGGGCTGAGTATAAAGGGGCAGCTCAAGGGAATCTGGGGGAGTGATGGTTGAATACAGCGGGGTGGGTGTAAGACTGAAGTGATAGTTGTCAAAACTCTTAAAACTACACCAAAAGGAGTGCGTTCACTGTATAGAAGTTCACAAATAAATTTTAAAAAATGCAGCCTGGCCTTTCCTTTAGAAATTGTAAGTAAAATAAGCACAAATTTCTTTTAAAAAGAAGAGCACTACAGAGCCACACAGCAAAAACTCATTACCTAAAAGGTGTCCCTTGAACAGCATGCTGGGTCTAGACACTTCCTGTAGCTCAAAACAATTCAGTTTTTGCACTTCCTAGGAGTAGAGATTAAGTGCTACAGAACCTTAAACTACGAAGAAACAAAGTCTCACCCCTTGGAAAGAAGATGACCCACCTCCTGGGCAGAAAAGACCCAGTAAGTCAACATGAACCTGGGTTATACTCAATTCTCCATTAGGAGAGAGTGGAGAGTTTATAATGTACTCATTGACTGAAATTAATTAATTCATTAATGATTCTTATCCCTCCTGAAAAATTTTTTGCTGGTTTATTTCCAAACTCTGACTTCAGATTGTTATTTTGTGCTCGTTAGGATTTTCCTACCAGATTCCAGAGAACTAGAAAGAAGGTCGGGGGAGGGGGATTTCTAATTCCCCATTTTCAACAAACCTTAGGTTTTTACCAAGTATGTGAGTATACCAGTTTGCACCCAGGAATAAAACCAGATTCATTCAATATTATTTCTCAAAAAACCAAAATCTATCAACAAATAAAAAATGTTAGCTGTAAGTTTCTCATGGAATGATTATCAAGTCCACAGAAATATCATGACATCATCTACTTGGCATTCCTTTCTCTTTTCTCCAGGATGTAAGTGAGAGGCGAGTTTATATAATAATGATCTTGTGGGGACCACAGGCAGGAGGCAAACGAGAGAAGGGAGAAATAAAAGTGGCTTCTGTGCTTTTCGGTTTCCTCGGCACATATCCCAGTCAGTGAATCAAAGCTCAACTTTCTTCAGACTGAGCGGCTGTTGCTTTCTTGCTTTTCTATGACACCCCCTTGGCTTCGGGCCTGCACTTTAAAAAAACCAAACCTTCGTATGGGGGGAGAACTGTGACTCTACAATGCTTTAAAATAGCACTGAATTATCTTGGTCTAGGATAAACAATGTATTAAAGCCTAAAAGATAGGAGAAATCCCTACAACCCTCAAGTAGCTCATTAGTCTGTTTATTCGGACACCATGAAGCACATAATGTGCTAACCAAGCTGACAGAGGAGAACATAAAACTCAAGAAACAGACTGAAATTTGAAAACGAGGAGAAAGGCAGAACTGAAGTTTTCATGGAAATCAATTTAAATTTATTTGTAAAAGGAAAGCTGTGATGTCAAACAATAAGGAGGGACAGTGAGTATCAGCACGGTGACCCCTCGGGGTGGAAGGAAGCCGCAATCAGTCTACACCAACCTGGCCTCCTGGCCGCGGCCTCCACTCAGCCACCCTGGCTCCACGAGGGACGTGCAGGAGCACCCCAGGTGACAGCCAGGCTGTCTCAGCCATTGGGCAATGCAGCCCCACTCTCAGCTATGCACAGTTGGAAATTTTTGAAAAGTTTTCCAGAAAAAAAAAAAAAAGGTCACAATCAAAACAACTTCTGTAAAAACAAAACTTTCCATCTCAAAAAATTTTACAGAGGGCGCCTGAGTGGCTCAGTTGGTTAAGTGACTGCCTTCGGCTCAGGTCATGATCCTGGAGTCCCGGGATCGAGTCCCGCATCGGGCTCCCTGCTCAGCGGGGGGTCTGCTTCTCCCTCTGACCCTCCCCCCTCTCATGCTCTATCTCATTCTCTCTCTCAAATAAATAAATAAAATCTTTAAAAAAAAAATTTTTACAGAAACCTAAACATACAGCAAAGTAAAGCACAAAGTAAAGTTTTAAGGAGAGTGACTTTCTTATCCTAAAGTAACTTGTTCTAGCTCAGGACTAGCTGAGTTACATCGTGTACGTTCACAGAGGAAGCTCTGGAATCAGATTCAAAGCCCTGTTTCAGCAGTGTGGACCAGAGCCTGCCGAACGGCTCTGACTTGAGCACGTGCACGAGCAGCGTGCAGGGGACACCCAGCAGGCAGGGACACCTGTCTCCACAACACTGGAAGTGTGTAGAGCCGGTTCCGCCATCTGGCTGCCAGACTCCCCGTCCCTCTCCAACTACCCACCTCAGCTCCTGCTGAATGAGGACTCAGCCCTCTCCATCTTCCCTGACCCCCAGGAAAGAAGCTTTCCTTCACAGATTCCACGCATCCTCCCACCAGGCTCAGGTCAGCCCTTCGAGGTTGCTCTTCCTTCGAGGCCTCTCCAGTGCTGACCTTTTAGGCCTTACTCTCATCTTTGATCCTCTCCTTTCTATACTTACTAGTTTCATTTAGCTGCAAATTTTCTAGCCACATACTAAACTCTTTCTAATCTTCAGTAAAGCTCAGCTTCTTTACATATTTATTCCAAGACAAACATACTGAGTTCTGAGTACTGATACTCCAGGTTCTATACGAGGCTGGAGATTTTAAAAAAAAGAAAAAAAAATCAGTGACAGTTCTCAAAGCAGAGAGAAACAAATACTCTCTGACTGCATATTTACAAGGGGCTTTGGTAGCACTGTGAATTATCTACCAGAGGATCATTTGAGGCAGGGGGAGCAGGGCAAATAGCACATGTTAAATAAATAAGAAACAGGACAGAGTCATTATCAATGATAAACAAAAACATTTAAATATTAATAGTCACCAAAATAATTGAGTGGAAAACCTGACAACTTCTTACATTAATACCTGGATGCTCTGTGGCTTCTATATCTGATGCTTCCATACCTCTAATGAAAGCAACACGGCTGGACTGCACGACATCATTTGGATCGTACATTTTTATTTCCATTTCAGGCTATTTGGATCATTTCTATTTTCTCAGGTGTCATTTTTCGTATTTAAAGAATTCACATATTACTTTTACAGGAAATCATGTAACAAGAAGGACACAATGCCTTCGCTAGAACTTAAGATACGTGTATAAGAACTCTGATAGGAAATTTCATGAAACATTCTCATTAGGTGTACATATTATATACAGTGTATATACACGTACAGTATTTTCCAAACTCCTACATCTTGTTCTTCCAGAAGATGGAAAATGTCATTACTGATATACTTTAGGACAGATGCTCTGCTGTCTCATTACTTGTCATTTGAGTGTCACACGCACTCACCTGTGACTTGCTTATCTGGGAGAGAAGGAATTGGAATGGCTGACCCAAACTTAACCAGGAGACGTTCATATAACCAGTCAAAGTGCTTATACCTGTGGTTTACAGATCGATTAGTGTTCTAAAATACAAGGGAAAGAGAAGAAAACATTACCAATGCCAACTATGGAAAATGAAGAAAAAAGCAAATTTTAGCTAGGAATGCATGCATGATTCTGTTTTTGATAACGTCGATACTTACAGTAGGTGTTAACTGATATTCAATGTAGCTTTTCAGACCGTACATTTTGGAGCCTTTCCTGGGATCTGCTACCACACAGTCAAACGTAGAGGTAGGATAAACCCACATTGGGCCATAATCTCCAACCTACACAACGTTTCAGGGAGAGTTAATTTTGTAATATGGAAAAATAGTCAATATATTTGATAAATCATCAAATGATTCTTTTTAGGACTACAAGTCCTGTAGAGGGTCATTCTTGCTCTTTGTGAAGTTCTATGAATGCTCTCTGTTCCTGATAAGGTTATATATTTAAAGACACACTTGCTAGGACAAACCCTTCTGCTCTCCATGTGGGCATCTCAGGCCATGGAGAAGAGATGTCTGTCTCCCTCTCCTCTAGGGGAGTGTAGGATGGAACACAATTTCCTCTCTCTAGTCCAGTTGTCTTAGTCATTTGTGACGAAGGGCTGGTTTTAAAAGATTTCCAATCTATCACAGACTGGTAGTTTTGTGAAATATGAAATTACACACCTGGATGTCTTGACAATGTCAAACTGCCCTCAAACTTTCTCAATGCTTACTTTCACTTTCTGTATACTCAGTCCTAATTCTTTTTAAAGGTGGAAGAAAGAAAAAGTAGGCTGGGGTAAGAAAGTTCAGAGGTTATGAGGTCAGGGAGGTGACCAGGGCTCAAACAATCTTACTAATAAGGGACTAAAGAGAAGATCTTGACAATAAGCTACTATGACTCCTCAGGGAGGAGCCCAGATCCAGAAAACCCTGAAAGCTATAGGGCAGGAATCTCTAGAAACCGCCCTCAGTGAGTGGGACCAAAAGAGGCCACTCTGATCAACTAGGGCCCAATATCCAGGGGCTCACATTTTATTAGTGGGCAGGGTTACTGTGCCTTAAGAGCAAAGAACCACGTATCTGCTTTCTCTTGGTTTTCTGAAGACTCGAAGGCATTATCCCTCAGCTTCCCTTTCCATGCAAGGAGCCTGCACAGGTGGCTTGCTTACAGGGTATAGGGGGCCCAGGTCTACGTGACACTTATGGGACAACTCCGACGCTGGGGTACTTTAGCTACAACACTATCGTGCTTGTGATAAAGTCCCCTTTGAGGGCTTTTAGTCCTGTGGAGTTTTAAATTTAGTGCAAACAACAACAATACATGTTCAGTATTTACTAAAAAGTCTGAAGAAAAAATTTAAAAGTTAAAATAATCTTTAATCTAACCACTCAGAAGATAATTACCCCAAATTTGCTTTGAGGGAAAAAGGAGGAAGGGGCTCTTGGCCACAGCCCTTTTTTCTGGAGTTTCTAGGATTTCAAGCTTTTCAAAGATGTAGGAACTAATAATAATAATAATAATAATAATAAAAATCCAGTATCATTTTTGCACTTTATCAAGTTTCCCAGGACCTAGAGATTATTAGAATAAGACCAGATGTTTCCTCCTCCTTGTTTGGGCCTATGATAATTACACTCAAGACTCTCCCCCAACCCCGTCCCCATCCTACAGTTACAGGGTTAAGTCAATAGGGTCAAAAGATAGCCAGAGTTCTCTTTTCCAGAATTCATCTGGAAATATAGCACTAGATAATGCTTAGAAAGAAAATCTATCAGCAATCAACATTTGGGTGAAAACAGAGAGCCTATATGTCATGTTATGTAATAATCAAGTTATTCTGAGGGAGAGATTCTTAATGGTGTCACTAACTCCTAGCTTGTATTTGCTTAGTCCTTACTATGACCTGACAGCTGCTTTATTGGAGGAAAGACTAATTATTACCAGCGCAGTGGAAAGGGCATCTTTTTTTTTTTTTTAAGATTTTATTTATTTATTTGACAGAGAGAGAGAGAGCACAAGTAGGCAGAGTGGCAGGGAGAGGGAGAAGCAGGCTCCCCGCTGAGCAGGGAGTCGGATGTGGGGCTTGATCCCAGGACCCCAGGATCATGACCTGAGCCGAAGGCAGACGCTTAACCGTCTGAGCCACCCAGGCGCCCTGGAAAGGGCATCTTATTTGGATAATATGCATGCACTTTGCCAGGGCAGAAACCTAAATATTTGAATTGGGCTTATTAGCTAAATATACAGAGTTGGCAGGAAGACCGCATGTCTTCAAGACACTTTAGAGAAGAAAAATTATTAAAAGAATATATACTATAGACGTGGTTGGTTCAATTACTAATAGTCATAGAGGTAAAAATTAAAAAATATCTAAATATAACAACAGGCATCACTTGATGCCAATTATCTTTACTACTCTTGCAATACTAATACATCCCGTCAGTTATTTGGAGCATTAAATGTGTTAAAAATACCCTCCAGAAGACTAATAACCCTCTTAGCTTTAAGATATCATAAAAAGAGCTTAATTAGAAACAAAGGAAGCAAACAAAAGTGAACAAACTTACAATGATAGGAATTTTCTCTTTGGGTTTTGCTAGTTGCTTGGCCAACAAATACTGTTCCATTCCAGGTTTTGCAAATCCAGGAAATCTAGTCATGAAGATAAATGCCCGTGCGTGAGTCTTATGTCTTTCCTTATAGAATTCTACAACTCTGGTCCACATATTCTTAATACAAGAGTTTTAACCTTGTTCTGCCTTTCAGATGTAGCAGGACTAGGAAAACTGGTAAATGAAACCTAATGTAATCAGATTGTTCAATGGCCAATTAGTCATTTAATTAAGCTTTATCTGGTAAGAGAACAGTCTGACTCCAGAAGGTGTGATATTTATGGGTGCTCTACTTGCTTAACTGGATCGGAAACACTCTACCACCACAGAGAGTGAAGGGCAGCCTAGAAAACTGTCCCCCGGGGCACGGGAGGAGAAAGTACCGAGCACAGCCCCTGGAGTTGAACACATGGGGCCGTGGCCACACGCCAGCATTTGTATCCAAACTGAAGCTGTCTTTCAACATAGTCCCTGCAGGAGGCCACAATTATCCCAGAGAAACCGTCACTGTTCATAAGCACTTGTTCATAAGCCATCTTCTTTTAGACTTGTCTTCAGAACTGGTTTACAAGACACAAAAGAAAACCAGTCTCCTCCTTAGTAGAGACCCCAAACGTTCTAAAATCAGAGAAAAGCTGGAATAAACATACAGCCATCCAAAGCACTACTTCTAAAGAGGACAAGATTAATTTGGGTTTTAGAATTTCTTTTAATAAACAGGAAAAAAAAAAAAGACCCTCAGAAAGCAAAATACCTACAATAGAAAAAGAAATATTATTCCTACAAAAAACCAGCTACACTACTTCTATTTCATTCATATACCAAATTAAAAGCTAATGTGATGGTCTCAGGGGCCTGTCTTTTCCTTCATCCTCACATGACTTACCTCTTTTCCCTAGGCAGTCTTTATTTATTTTATTTATTTAAAAGATTTTATTTATTTATTTGACAGAGAGAGACGCAGTGAGAGAGGGAACACAAGCAGGGGGAGTGGGAGAGGGAGAAGCAGGCTTCCCGTGGAGCAGGGAGCCTGATGTGGGACTTGATCCCAGGACCCTGGGATCATGACCCGAACCGAAGGCAGACGCTTAACGACTGAGCCACCCAGGTGCCCCCCTAGGCAGTCTTTAAGCACAGCTCATACACGAGAGAACAAAGAGGGGTCTAGGAGCTGACCTTTGGGTTTGAATTCCAACTCCAACAATTAATAGCTATGTGACCTTTAGAGCTCCAGTCTCCTTTTGGGAGGAATGGGACCAATATGACCTGCCTTTTAAGATAAGGGAATTAAATGAATGAGGGAATTAAATGAGAGAGTTATATAAAGAGCCTAGTATATATATTCATAAATTAAACTTATCTCTAATTATGTCATCATCTCTTTGAAAGTATTCCCTACAGCCTCAGGTACAGCTCTCTCTGGGCTTCTTCAACATTCTGACCATACTTCTGCTATATAATTTATCATGCTTAATCACCATAATCCATTTACACATTACAGCAGACTAGAAATACCTTAGAGAAAGTATTTGTATTTCCAAGACCCAGAGGAGTTATAGGAATACACGAAATGCATAATGGACTAATCTGGAACAGTTTTATTAAATAACCTGTACTTTTGCTAGAAAATATTGATGGAAAAAATTGGGGGATTACACAGAGTGACAATTCCCTAACTAGACTGTAAGCCTCTGAGTGCAGAGGTCCCATTTCACATTTCCTTCGGTATTCTTAGGGATCACAGCAAACCTCTAGGGCCGATTCATTTAATACTTATTGAACAGCAGTGCAATTTATTAATTCTTTCAGTATTATCAAGATGGATTCTTATAATGCTTGAGTATACTTCAATTTCTAATCTCTTCTAGTGTAAGCTTTATGCTCCATGACAGGAACACGGCTGTCATATAAAATGGATTAACTGCTGAAAAATGTTAATACTTTAAAAAATTTTAATGACCGTTGTGAGTCATTTATATACTAGTCTAGTTAAATAGTAATAATAAAAAAAGAGCCACAGGATTTTAAACAGCTCTCAGCACCAGAGAGAGAGGGAGAGAGGGATGCCTCAGAGGTTCTGGGTCAATTTAGGATTCCTCTGATTTGGTTTCAGCCTGAACTGAAATTTTCGAGAATTTTAAATTAAAGCCAGCCCCTTCACTTCAGAGATATGGAAACTGAGGCTCAAACGGGTCACCCCACTTCCCAAGATCATACAGCAGAGGAGAGCAGGTGAGCGTGGGGCACAGGAAGGCAGGGAAAGCAGGGTCAGGAGCCTGGGCATGAGGCAGAGCCTCCCTAACCAGTAGCCAGGAACGCTAGGCCACACACATGATGGAGTCTGCGCTTCCTCGTTGTCAAAATGGGGCTGAGAGATACTTTACAGTAAAATGGGTTCCAATGCACTTGTAATTTATGCTAATTTACATCACTGCAGACCACACTGAGAACTTCACCTTCCACTCTAAGAAAAGGATAGAGTCAATGTGAATGACTAATTTTATAACGCATGCAACTGAACATGAAAAGACATAATGGAAGGAAGTGGATAGACAAGTAGGAAGAACTTGTAGCTAAAAGCCAGCTCATCCAATCACTTGATGCTATGTAAACATGCAGAGCGGAACCAGGAGGACTCAAACTTCCATGTGTGGATCTAGACCCAGACCTTGACATCCAGGTACACAGCAAACATTCTCTTTACAACTGTTTCCAGACACAGATTAACATTCCTTCCTGCTCTGAATCACGGACTTGGAACACAGAGAAACAGTGGTGGTAGTTTTAGAAAAACTCTATTAAGCACACTGCTGTAAGAAGAGAATTTGAGGATTCCTAGGGAAGTCATAAATTGTGTCTCCTTTGACCTAACTGTGTGAACTACAGACTCATGCAGGTCTGTCCTGCGGGGAATCCCACGGTGCTCTGTCCACACTCACCCCTTCCCACACGCTTCCCTGTCAGGCACTGAGTCTACAAATACTGTTCCAAACTCTTCTCGTTTTACATCTCAGAGAAATCTAAATGAAACAAAGTCTTACAACATACTAGGCATAGTAGTTGAGAGACTGAAGGAATGCCTGGGATCCTAACTTACCAGCTGTGCAAGCCTGGACACTTACTTAACCTCTCTGGGCTTCAGTTCTTCCCATAGTGAAACAGAGTCTATGTACTACAAAGGGATATGAGGGTCACATGACAGCTCATGGAAGCCACTCTGCGCAATGCCTGGCCCACAGTAAGTGATCAACAAATAGGAAAACAGTTAAAGGAGTTATTATTATTAATATTATTATTTTTAGCTTTCTTGTGACATCAATGTGCCATGGAGTTGACAAAGGTAAAAACAGTATTTGGCAGATCATTAAACAGAACAAATATTTCACTTTAAAAAGAAAAAAAAAATTCTTCCAGTAAGCTTCTAAAGCTAAGATCCAAATAGAAATGATCAAATGACACCCCAAACTTCCCAGATCACTGAAAAGAGGAAAGCCTCCTTGGATCTCCCCTCTGTTTCTGCGTGGAGTTCACGTTCCCCGATGCCCTTTAAACCTACTTGTTGAGTGGCAGCTTCATGGATGAGGAGCCAGCTCGGCTGTTGCCCCGCTGAGCACCCCCTGCTTCTGTTGACTCTGAATCCTTGAAGTAGGGAGCAGCGGACTTGGGGTCGTCCCAGTCTTCGTCCCACTCATCATCATCACCGGTGGCTAGGGGTGGGCACAGAAGAGCACCGGTGAAGAAAAACAAAATAAAAATGGAACAACCTCATTTTCTGATAGTGACTACTGACTGCGTTAGCCAATTAAAAAAAAAACGAGAGAAGCTGTAGCACAGGAATGTAAGGCAGATGCGGAGTGAGGGTGCTCTAGTCCGTGCAAGGGCTCCAACCCTGGATTCTGCCTTTTAGTGCAAAAGACAAGTTAGAAATAATGAGGCTGTCAGTGTGAGGAACTTCAGGGAAGTGCAGACTAGGAGCAGCTCCGTGGAGGGTACACAAGCCAAGCCGGCACACAGGTAACTCTCACTTTATACACTTGGAAATAAGCAGATCAAATACCCTTTCAGTCACGAATATTGGGCAGGAAGGATGGAAGGCAGATAATAGATCTTTGAAAAGGAATTCTTTAACACCAAGGATAATACAGGTGAGGGAAGGACAAGGGGAGGGGAGGAAGGAGGGGAAGAGAAGAAATGAGACAAGGGGGCGTTACAGCGCCCGCAGCCTCCCATTTGAACAGTGGTCTCTGTCGGGTACAGACGCTGCTGCCGGCTTCCCCCCACCCCCACGTCCTCCTCCCGCCGTCTGGGCCTCTGTCTCCCACCCTGATGGCCTCACGTGTCCTTTTACCATTAGACAGAAAAATGCCCTGGGATCTTGGCCCTAGGGTGCCACCAAGAGAAGCCGAGAGACAAAGGCCAAAATGAAAACGAAAAAGAACAGAAGGTACTGGAAGGATCTGGGCCGAGCTGGTACAGAACTGGGGTCAGCTGTGGGGTCGCAGCCCTTCCACTGGCCCGTGACTCCTGCTACGAGCGGGAGCCTGTGCCCTTCATGTCTCCTGCGCACAAGTCCCCGGCCACTAGCACATTCGATTCTCCACGGGATGTGCTCATCCACGGGTCATAAAAAAATGAGGGGCGGATCTCTGTCTTTTTATTTAATCTCAGAACAGACATAAATACCCTTTTTCTTAATTCCTGAATTGTTTCCCAGTCTACAAATTCCTCTTTTGCCTCTGTACTTCCATTAAAACAGGTAGTTAAGGAAGAGGAAAAACCATTAGGTCAGACGTCATAAACCAGCAGGTGATAAATCATACTTGATCTGTATACACACTTTTTGGGCCCAAGGTTTTAAAACAAATGTGTGTCAGCTGCTAAGATTTTAGAGTGGGAAGAGGATATAAAAATGGAGCTGGCCAGTCCCCGGCACCATGGAGGACCAGGACTGTGAGCTGGGTCTCCTGCAATGCTATCAATCCGTTGGCGACAGGAGGACTGTGTCCTCTTCCCAGCCACGGGGCCGCTCTGCTCTCCTGCCTTGTGAGCCTGGCCCCTGCAAGCAACTCCGATATGGATCGTGGAGCTGGGACTAGAGATTATAATTAACGACTACCCACATTTGGGTCCAGAAATCTAGGTTTGCTGCTAGTGACAAGAGCACCTCACAGTGCTCCTTTGATTAAATTCTATTTTTAAAATACCTTTTTTTTTTTTTTTAAAGACTTTATTTCTTTATTATTTGAGAGAGAACAAGCGGAGGGGAGAGACAGAGCGAGAGGGAGAAGCAGGCACTGCTGAGCAGGGAGCCCGATGTGGGGCTCGATCCCAGGACCCCAGGATCACGACCTGAGCCGAAGGCAGACACTTAACCAACGGAGCCACCCAGGCGCCCCTGATTAAATTCTATTTTTAACTCGAATGCCCTCCCCAGTCACTTTCAGGGTGGGCCCGGGCACTGGCAGAGCCCCCTCCTCACCTGGTCCTTGGTAGGCCTGGGGGTGACCAAAGGCAGTGTCCCAGTTATTGGAGGTGTTTCTCTGGGCCGTGGTCCCCTCTGGCTTGGCCCCCCAGCCATCCGTGCTGTCCCAGTTTCCAGATTTGGAAGCACTCCAGGCTGACCAGGGGTCATTGCCACTGCTGACCTGCTGTCAGAGGTAAAAAAAAAAAAAAAAAGGGAGAAAGACCATTTGTGACTTCTCAAAAGCACTACTCAATTCAGTAGGAATCACTTAACAGAATATACTAGGGGTGCTGCAAAAAACGGACATAAGTTTAAAACAATTTTAAATTTAAATAATAATTTTGCATTTAAATAAATAGATAAGGAAAGCACAAAGAGCAGCATCAACCTCATACATTTTCTTTTTATGTTAATCTTTTGCCCTGCTTCCTTGGAACTTGACAACCAGTAACAAAGGGACTATGACACGTGGCTGTCGCTGTCGTACTTGCTCTTTCTTCTCCACACCCCCCAGCAAGTACTTCCCTGAACTGTATCCATTCCTGAGGATGTTTCCATACCTCCACTGCATACATACACGGTCCTAAGTAACAGCTTTAGGTTCTTAAAACTGACCGACACAACATTACATGGGATGTGTCTCTCTGCAAGCTGTCTTGTTTTCACTTAAATCATGTTTTTGGGATTATCCATGCTGACAAGGATCTGTTTTATTTGCTTTAACTGTTTTAAAGCAAATCCACTATATTTTTGACGAGGTTTTAATTTTTATATGGAAAAGTCATACCTTCCCAGTAAAAAAAAAAACACAAAAAAACACAAACAGAATAAAAGGATATGCTACCAGGTTGCCAGTCATTCTCTTCAGACAACTACCACCAATGAATTCCTTCCATATACTTCATCGAACATCCCACGCCCAGAGGTCCCTTTTGTTTCTAAACCTTTGTGCTCTGCACTTGTGTTTGTTTTTTTCACTTCGTGGCCTGACGCGTTCTCTGTGGTCCATCAGCACATACGGGTGACGTGGCTCTTCCCCGTGGCTTGTTCCACCATATTTAACTCCCACAGCTTCACCAGTATATGCCGATGCTCACGTATCGTGCTGTCAGTGTTTTGCTACCAAAAATAATGCTGCAGTGCACCTCCTTGTACATCCTTCCCCACGTGTCCAATACAACCATGTGCAATCCCCAGAAGAGAAACTGGTGGGCTAAGGAGAATGGGCTTTCTCAGCTGACAGATTCTGTCAAACTGCTTTCCAAAGAGATTGTACAGTTCCATTTGACAGTTCCATTCCTACGCTCCCACCGACTTGCCAATGGGTTCTGCCATGCTCCAAAATTAATTTTTAAAATATTTTTTCCCATTATTCCTTTAAGTAATTTTACAGTTCAATTATTAATAGCGTAAATAAAACTTTGGAGAAAACAATACATGGCATCCGGTTTCAAGGACTATTACAGTGAGAGAACCTGCAGCCCACTTCTCACCCTGCCCCGTCCACTTGAGGCAACCACAGTTTTGGGGGGTTTTATTTCCTTGATTTTAAAATTTTAAATCTTTGATTTGCCTGGAATTTACTTTGGTGGGGGAAATAATTAGGGAATCTGACTTAATTTTTCTTATAGTCAGTCTGTTGGCCTAATACCATTTACTGAAAAATCCATCTTTCCCCTACTGAATTGAAATGTCACCTTACTCGTATGCTGGACTTGGGCCTATTTCTGGACTGTTTTTCCTAGGAATCCATTTGTATAAGTACCAAGTGACTTGTTAGCCCACTAGATAGAACAGTATTAATACTTTAGCATAAATCTTTTATTGGTTTATTTTTACACATCAACTTTAGCATCAGCTTAATATTTTAAAAGTAAAACAATCTAGGGGCGCCTGGGTGGCTCAGCTGGTTAAATGTCTGCCTTTGGCTCAGGTCATGAGGGTCCTGGGATCGAGTCCCATGTTGGGCTCTCTGCTGGGCGGGATCCTGCTTCTCCCTCTCCCTGCCTCTCCCCCTGCGTATGCTCTGTCAAATAAAATCTTTTTAAAAAATTTAAAAATTAAAAAAAAAAAGTAAATCTAAACTTTTGCATCAGAATGTCAAATTTTGAAAAATGTGTTGATTTTTACTTGTATCACCTTAAACTTACAGATAAATTCAGGGAAACCAAACAGTGTCTTTAAAAAAAAAAAACAATTTCAATATTGAATCTGTTTATCTAAGAACATGGAATAGCAAATTTTCCCCTTTGAGTCTTCTTTCTCACATTAAAAAAAAAAAAATACTTGTGTTAAAAAAAAAAAAAAAAGGAACAAAGAAAGGGGGAATTTGCAAGAAAGTTACCCAAACTGTCTAAAATACTTAATGCTCTAGAATACTATCAAGGTTGGCCTTTTTTGACAGATGTGGGGATAACTGCCTGTCACACACCAGAACCAGAGTGTATTTTTTACATGTGAAGTATGATTCCATTCAAACATCTCTTACACCTTCAAGAAAAAGAATGAAGTTACTAGTGATTTTGAAGGATCATTGCTTTCTGTGGGATGATTTCTTCTGTTTGAATTAGAAGTAAAACTGGTATGTTCTTGAGCTGGAATCCTATTTCATTTAAGTCAAATATTAACAGCAGAAGGACATTTCATCCAGATGCCTGTGAACTTCTCGAATATAAGCTTACACGGTGATACCTGCAAGGCATTCTAGCGGATACTGGAAATGAAGGCAGTCATGCTGAGGGCCTGACAAGCACACTTGACTTAAGAGAAGCCCTTCCTCCCTGGTTTTCTTTGAGGAGGGGAGTTATACTCTGCAATATATACTCTGTGCCCTCCAAACTCTATGAGGTTTTTATTTTCAGAATGAGAACTTCAAGAAGTACAGAAATTTTGGATAGTAAGAGGACAGTTAGTACAGACATTCATTTGTCTAGTGTTTCCATCAAGTCCTGACTGAGCCCCCCGGCCCCGTGAAATAATAGGCTGAGGGCAGCTCAGTCAAGGGCATGGGTTCTGGTCAGGCAGCCAGGCTGAAATTCTGGCCGGGAATTTCAGGCTTAGAATTCAAAACGAGGCAGTCTGCCTCAGATTCAGAAAAGCTGGTGCAAGTTACATGAAGGAAACTGAAAAGGAACAGAGGGTTATAAAGTAGGATAGGAAGACTGAAGGTCAACACTGCTGTGACATTAAGACTATAATGTTAGCAAAGAAAGATTTTCATCGACATCGAGGAAACAATCAGATGTGAACTATTCAGAGCAAGTATCCTTAAAAAAAAAAAAAAGTTCTTTTGAAAACTACTGCATTTAAGCGAAAACACTAATTTGAAAAGATACATGCACCCCTATGTTTACTGCGGCATTATTTACAATAGCCCACGTGGCCATCCATAGATGAATGGATAAAGACCACACACACACACACACACACACACACACACACACAGAAGGGACTATTACTCAGCCATAAAAAAGAATGATTTTGCCATCTGAACAACATGGATGGACCTCAGCATAATACTAAGTGAAATAAGTCAGAGAAAGATAAATACCATACGATTTCACACATATACAGAATTTAAGAAAAACAAACAAACAAACAATGAACAAAGGGGAAAAAGAGACAAACAAAAAAAGACTCTTAAATACAAAGAACAAACTGGTGGTTGCCAGAGGGGAGGTGGGGGGACTGGTGAGCTACATGAAGGGGATTCAGAGTATACTTATCAAGATGAACAGTAAGAAATATACAGAATTACTGAATCATTGTACCTGAAACTAAAATAACACTTTATGCTAAGCATACTTAAATTTAAAAATATATGAATGGACTTTACAAAAAAAATTAATTAGGCTAAAAATAAATAAAACTACTTTGTTTATAAATTGCTTATAGTAATTGCTATATATTTGGTTACCTATATGATCTCAGCTCCTCCTAAGGTTATGAAATCCTTGTAGGCAAATCTAGTAATTATTTGCTTCCTTCTCTGTTGTTTTTCCTGGGACATTCCCTCTATCCTGTTTCAAGGTGACTCTTGCTGATAAATCTTTCACAGCTTGGCCCACTGGACACCTCTCCAGCTTCGATCACTGACCACTCTCTCTCGCTCTCAGATGGCCTTTACTGACTTCCAGGGCCCCTCCTCTAATACCAACAACTAGGAGCCAGCTCACACAGTCTGTCTCCTTTTTTCTCTGAACCCACCTTGCCATGCATTGGCCTCTGACCTCTCTGTTTTCAACCCCCAATATCCCTTCTTGGGGCGCTTGGCACAAACATTTTCTGGGTGCTAGATGCCAGATCCTTCAAAGCCCAACCCCTCCTGTAACAACCTCCTAGGATGACCTGGTTTAATCACCCTATGGCCTCTGACCCCTTTGCCCTCAATCCCAATAACCCTTGTGCCCCCAACCGCAGGCATTTGGCCAAACAACCCATTCTGCTCCCGAGCCAAGGCTTCAAACCCAGAGCAGCCTCTTCTCTCCCTTTCTTCTGGCTTTGCTTCCTCTCTCCTTCTGTAAGGTCTTCAACTTCTTCCTTGCCTGCCCTTTATGGTACCAAACAGCTCCTGACTCTGTCAACCACGTGACTGAGAACCCTTCATTAGCTCTCACTGCCCATGGAACAGATCCCCAAACAAGTCTCGGTGACATACTCCCCCAGGTGCAAATCCCAGCTGCCCTGCCAATTCCTACCAATTCCACCCCGTGTCTCCACACCCCAAGAAGGCCTTCTGGAAGATACTTCACCTGAAATAATCACCTCACTTGTGGAAAAGGGCTACTTTGAGGGGCTTTAAATGTTAATTTCCTCTTGCATTCAAGTTTGAGCTTTACCTTATTTATGGTAGGAGAAGGAGAAGGAGAAGATGAAGAAGGTGGTGACTGGCTGAGACTTTCAATACAACCAATCTGAGCCAAAATATCCACCTTAAAACAAAAAGGGTGCTCAGTAAGTGAAGAAAAAAAGAGCATACCAAAGCTTTTAACTAGAGACAGCAAATTCGTGGCAGGGCTAAGTGCACCAGAAAATTCTAGCATGCTGTCCGTTCACAAACATTTTACATGCAAAGCAAAGCCCCGACTGCGGAGGAGTGGGTTATGGTCAGTGCGCATTCTGGAGACCGCTGCTGTCAGTCACATCACGGTGTCACTGAAGCGCCAAAAATAATCCTAAGCAGCACAGAGGGAATGGAACAAATATCATGCAAGTCACACAGCCAAGGAAAGAAACTCCAGAGGAAACACAAAGCCAAGCTTTTCAGAATGTTAAGATGTTGAACCAGTGTTTTCAAAGCCACCGGGCACGTAAGACGAGCAAAGCCACCTGGCTGACGAGGAGGAGGCACGGTGTCACAGTGACACCCAGCGGGCCCAGGTGAGGGCAGGAGCCAGTCAGGCCGTGCCCGCACAAGCAAAGGCCTCTGGTGCGTGCTCTGGAGGCTCTCCCTGGCTCGGTACGCAGCGTCCTCGCGACAACAGGTAACGGATACACTCCCATGAAGCTACTCAAGGCCAAACTGGAACTGCTGTCAGGAGGAGAGCTGTGGAGCCCCGTTCCCAGGCTTTGAGTCCCGGCTCCACAGCTCTCCAGTAGGGAAGTCATTACTAGAACGCTCACATGGTGTCACGAGGATGCACTTTTCAGGTACAACTCTCTTGTTAAGTTGGTGGTATTATCGCCATTTTCTAGATGTAGATAAACTTGACTTTGGAAATCAATTAATATACAAAGTAGGCTATCAACATGATCCAGTTTTCCACTTAAAACTAAAACTATTTTAAAAAAAGAACCGACAAAATACATGAAACCGTTTCCCAATCATTGGACACCAGGCAATAAAGGACCTGATCCTGCCTAGAGAGACTTTCCAGGCCACGGATCAGGATGAGGAACCCACAAAAAGACCAGTGGTTCCTGTGAATTGAGGAGATAGAAGGGGGAGCCCAGGGCAGAGAGCTGCACAGACAGCCCTCTACAGAGCCGCACAGGGGTACCCCAGGTCTTGGGCTAGTACTAGTGAGTGTACCACATGAAAGGATTAAGTACCCCCACCAGCCAGAAGAAAAAACCTCCTGAGCACAGGGCATCAGGTACACTGCCAAAAAGGGTTTTGCCTCAGCAGAGAAGCAAAAATACCCTGAGACGAAACATTGCTCTGGTCCCACTTGAAAAAGCTTAAAAATAATGTGAAAGGGTTACACTGTTTCTAAGTAACCTAACTTCATGCCAGAACAAGACCCCAAAATATTTATGGGAAAACAAAAATACCCAACATATAACAAGGTAAAAATCACAAGGTCTGGCTTCCAATAAAAAATCACCAGGCATGAAAAGTAGCAAAAAATATGAGCCATAACAAGGAAAAACCAATCAATCAAAGCTGACCCAGTAATGACACAGACAACAGAATTAGCAAGAATATTTAAGAGCAAGAAAGCTTCCAGATATTGATGAGACAGAGGAAACATTTTGATGGGCTTCCAGTGGGTGATAATTTTAAGCATAAAAAAGAAAAACCCATACCAGTGGGAACACACGGGATCAGTGTAAACCCTTGGGTCCACAACAATACCAAAAAAATAGGAAAACTCATTTGTCACTACTTGAGAAGCTATTAAAGCAACTTCTTACCTGGCAATCTGGCAGTGAAAGGGAAAGAACTGGACATCTACACCGAATTCCAGTAGAAACTGTTTTCCAAGGTAGCTAACCAGCTCCAACTGATAAAGGAAAAGTGCTATTTTACAGAAGAAAGCCACCTCAGTAAATGTGGAAGAAATCGCTTTATTGATTCAGGCAAAGATATCAACTGGTGGCAAACTATTAGGTGAATGGTTAATAGCACTGAATTAACACCAGATTACCTTCTGGTCACAAGGAGAAAACATAACCAGACGGTGGAAACAGAAGACTGCCATTAACCTGACCCAAGGTCATTCTGATCAGTAACGGTGGACTGATTCTGATGTGCTGTAGCATGAATATACAATATCCCTATGGTATATTCTTGCCCAGAATGTTCACTTTGAATCCTTTGAGACCTTAGGTACAGCTTCCAATTTATAAGAAGTACAGAGGATAGAGGAACAACTTGGACAATACCAAAGGAACCATCTGACAAATCCAAAAGACGGGAATTGTACAGGAAAACCAACTAAGAATAAAAAAGTAGGGGCTGTGCTGGAAAGAAAGGAAACATGTGAAGGACACAGTGGACATAACCAGACCTAACGCCTGGGCCCTACACTGAACGCCAGTTCTTAAACAAGCTGTAAAAGACATTCTGGGGTCTGCTGGGAAAATTAAAGTTGGTCTGGATATTACATAAGATGAAAATTTACTGAAAATGTCAACTTTTAAAAGGTTACAAAGAGTATGTACTGTACGTGTCTCATATGGGTATACATGTGGATAACCATGTTCATCAGGGAAAATAAGGAATATGCCAAGGTGTAAACAGTAGTGCATGGTGGGGATGTGATGCTTTTCTGTTGGCTAGCCTGAATTTTCTAATGTTCTACAGTGTATATGTACTGCTTCAATAATACTAAAGGGTTCTTCTTAAAAATTGTTTTTAAAGAAAATAAAAACACTAGTCCACAAAAATGATAGGTTCTGGTTTTGTTATATTTTGCTGTATTTTGCTTCTTATAGGACATCTTCAGGGAACCCGGACCAGTAAGAAGCACACTCCTACTTTGGATAACAGTGGTGAGATCTGACTCATTCACTGGCCTCCCGGTAAGCACACAAGACATGGTCTGAGAAGGACAACTTTCACTGCACACATCACAAGAATAGCCACACAGGAGCTACCGGGACAAGATGCAGAGAACGGTAATGATGCCACTGTTTCTCTGTGCGTCCTCCTACACTAGGCTGGACGTTGAGGGTTACTGAGGTCTGAGAATTAATGAAAAAGGTAACATATATTTCATTAAGATTGCTTTCTATCTGGCTTTCTACCAAACCAGCAAATGTGAGTACAAAGGACATACGACGGCTCAAAAGAAAACGGATGGGTGGTCATGGCCCTGGCTGCCCACCTGGTTCCTTAGAGGAGACGCTCCAATCAATACAGGTAAATGCGGACCACTCGGCCTGATAAGTCTGCCAGGTAAGAGGAGTCCCGAATCACGGGCTCACTACCCTTTACACTGTTACCTTGGGGGAGAGGCCGTGGAAGCAATCGAAGGTTCCCCTTGTCACCGCACAGCAGAGTTCTTGCTGTGCCTCCATCCCACGCTCACACGTTCTGTCTGTTGTCAGTTGGCTTACCTGCCATGGCCTCTCATTCCACTACACCCTCATGAATGGTCCCCTGCTTGGAAGCACAGATGGAAATTTCTAGTTACAAAATTCCTTCCTTCCAGGGCAAGACTTTGTCCAGGTATTTGCAACAGGAATGAAAAGAAAACTGCTTGCTCTGTGAAGTCTGAGGCTATTTATGTTTTTCTTTTTCTTTTGTTTTGACAACTCATCTGTAGGACTGAGGCACCAAAGTCTTTATGTGACATCTCTCCATCAGACATATGATGACCACATGCCAGCTGTGTTAGGAAGTAGGGGCAGAAAGCGAATACTGTGGGTGCCTGGGTGGCTCAGTTGGTTGGGCGACTGCCTTCGGCTCGGGTCATGATCCTGGAGTCCCGGGATCGAGTCCCGCATCGGGCTCCCTGCTCAGCAGGGAGTCTGCTTCTCCCTCTGACCCTCCCCCCTCTCATGCTCTCTCTCTTTCTCTCTCTCAAATAAATAAATAAAATCTTAAAAAAAAAAAAAAAAAGAAAGCGAATACTGTGATGCCCAACAGTTTCTGACAAAGACTTAACTCTTTTTCTCAGAAGAGCCTACAGAGGGTATAAAATTTTCTTATGTAGAGAGCCCAGCCATTTCTACTCAGAATGTAGAAGAATTTGTAAAATTTCCTGTTTTGTTCCTTATAGATCTTTTGCTCAAAGGACATTATCTATTTGTAATTAATTTAATTCAGATGAACCTCTACTAACATCACAAAACCACTGGTCAGAATATAAAACTTCTACATTCTTTAAAAAAATGAGGCTAGATCACAAGAACCAATTAAAGCTGTTTGTACTGATTGGAAATGACCCAAAAAGTTTAACTGGTTTAACAAACCCTTTGTTAATTCACATTCTAAGCACACAGATGTCAACTCCAGTTATGTATTTTTTTAAGTACAGAAAATGAAAACTTATTTTATTAACTTATCTTAAGAAGCAGGAAATATTTGTATTAGTTTAGAGAGTTGACTTATTTTGTTAGCGCAAAGTCTTAAAATAGGTCACTGCATGTCCCAAACAGGATGATGCTACAAGTAGTTTCCAGATGGATCTAATAAAAGTCCACGAGAGATGGGCTTACAGACACTTCTGATGATGGGCTGTGTTATAACAATGCTCACTGGCCCTTCATCAAAGCAGTGTTCAGGTAAAAAACAAAACAAATCCTTCCCTTTTGTCATTTGTTTCCTGTTAGACGAAAACAAACAACAATGACAAACCACCCTCAACAATGAACTTCATGGCATGTACTTTTGGAAAGGTTCCCTAGATGCATAAAGCTGTCTTATACAAAGCAAGGATCTGTGATCAAAAAAGCATGGAAAGTTAGTATTGCTAGCCTGATGCAGTTCTGGAGAAAATGTCAGCAAATCCTTTAAACAGATGTCTACAACCTTCTTTACAAAGCCCTGCAGTCCATTAAAAGGGATTCATATGGGGGTGGGGAGACGGAGAGAACCTTTCCAATAGGGTTTTGTAAAGAGGAAATCTCAATAAACAACGGTGAGAAGTCTATGGCATTACAGATCTTACTTGAGATAATGAAATAATAAGCAAACCTAATACCTGTGTGAAGCATTCTTCTGATTTATTTTTAAATGAATTACAAAATGGCCTTAGGATGG